TGGAATGCTACAGTGTTAGAGATAACTTCCAATGTACAGTACACAACACCAGCTGTCTCCCATGGTGTTGAAAATAATCACAAATATTCAATAGCTTTTTACTACTTTGCTGTCCATATTCCTCTTGAAAATATCATACATATTGCTTGGCTATTTTAGTTCCCAAAAGGTAAGATTTAAATTGAATGGTAAATTAAGGTGGACAAACAGTAACTGAGTACTACGACCGCCTATCATACAATAAATTACATATCATAAAAGCACGGTAAAAACACATACAGTACTTCAAAGCACAATTGACACACAGATTCTGCAAGTAAATGATCTGTAAATCAACAGATCTGTAACTCTGTCTAAAACCTTCATTTAACTTTATGGACATTAAATTCAAGTTAATGTCATGGAATATCCTCCATGGGTAGGTAGGAGTGTGCAGGTGAAAAGGTTAGTTTTTCAACATGGTGAAACTCCTTCGCACAAAGTCAGACTAAACCTTAATTACTTAACTCAGGAAGAAGAACAGGTTTTGAAAGCGATCAGCCGGTTATACCAGTCTATCCCCCACTGAGATATGATGAGTCTGGCTTGACGGGAGAATGAAATGGGTATACAAGTATGCTTTGAGAGATGATTATAACTGAATAGACAAAAGTAGAAGATACATTGCTGATACACTGTAAGAAACATTTATTGGACAATATTAGCAGCTCGGATTGCTGACAAGGTGGGGAGGGGTGGTGGGGTATTTTAATAAGAAACATTTGAAGTAAATACTAGAAAAATGTATCCTATTTCCTCCGTGGTATTTTATTTGGAACGGGTCAAAAATAACACACATAATATACCGTATATAAATACAGTATGCATATTTATGCAAGCACAGAAGCTAGAATAATGTTCATGCTTAGCGATCAGAAAATGCAAATGTCACCTACTTGTTTACCTATGCACCAGAGCTTTTCTAAAGCACGGCGTTGTGTGCTATTAATAACAGTATGTAAATCTAAAGTTTGTTTTCAGTAATTTGTCAAGCTTAGTGTATTTATTTTGGATGAAAAACTATAAATAGTAAATTATTTTGCTCAGTAATCCCAGGTCTTCATGAAATGTCTGTTAACATTATCCTTTATGGGCTTTGTCTGGTGTTGATTTTTCATTTGTACAGTATGTAAATAGTGAATGTGAAGCACTATTTGCACAGGTCCTGCTCTAATATTTTGAAGATTGTTATGTTAAAGAAATTCATGATACGGCATTTGATTGGAAGTGGAACTACTGGCAGGATGGTGGAAATGTGTCAGCAGGGAGCAGGGAAGAGATGGGAGCATACATCTCCCAACATGCAAGGTTTCATGGCCCAAGCTTTAGCAAGCAGAGCCACATCATATTAAATTCATGATCCAGGCAGTTTACGATGTCCAACTTAGTCCTTCTAGTCTGTAATGTTCAACAATATGCCCATTGTGCCAAGGACAAGGGATGCTGGAGCACATCCTAAACCCTTGGAGAAGGACACTATCGATGTCGTCGCGGCCAGGTGCAGAAGGCCTTAGCCGACACTATTAGCAGGGGTGTCAACAGCAATCAGCATCAGAGCCATTTAGCAGCCACATCCGCTGTCCAAAGTATCAGCAGGTCTCCTGGCAACGGTGGGAGATTGGCAGCTGAAGGTCAACCTAGGGAGCATAGTGACCAAACATAGCTAAGCATTGTATTGCAGGTGGTCATGCTAGAGCTACGAGCTAGTTTCCTTGGGAGACAGGATGGAGGAGGCCAGTCAACGGAAAAGAGCCAAATACGAAGACCTCCGTGTCTTATGAAGAAGATATGAAGATATTCATAACTATGAAGAAGCCAAGAATTTGCTTCTTAAATTTCAGTTTTGTTTTTTATATTCTCTCTCCAAATATCCAAATACGCAAATCAGATCACCTCGGTGCTTGTGTGACCAATAAGGTCCTCATCATTGCAGCACGTTATCCTAAGTCTACAGGATATAACTTGCAGAAAAGACTCAAGTTTAAAAAATTTCAAGTAGGTACTGTAGCTGTGTCAGCATGCGTAGGCTGCAAAGGAACAAGTAAAGGTTTATTGCATGCTGAAAAGAGAAGAAAGAAAACACAATGTTTCGCCTCACACGCGAAGACGACTTCAAAGCCTAAACGTTTTTCCTTTCACGTTTAAAGAAGCTCCCTCTGTTGACCAAAAAATAAACATGAAAAATAAGAACAGTAAATGTTCATTTACTAGTCAGCATCCAACAGCAATTGTGAATGTGTAATATTCTAATATTCTTTGTTAATTAAACATGCGAAATTATTTTTCGTGATATTCTCTTATCGAACACGAATTATGCAAAGAAATGTTTCCTCTTTAATAGTTTGAGCTACTGTACATCAAAACACAGGACATTTCCTGCCCCCTTGTGGCTTTAACTGGTATAGTTTAAGAACTAACTTTCTTGGTTCTTTTGGTTCCCAATTTGCTGGATCAAATTTTCTTTCCTTTACACAGTTATTGTAATTTAATTTGCAATTAATTTCACGAATAAAATAATTTTATGGCAATCAACGACTTTTCGGTAAGTGTGATAAGAGGATTTTTCATCTGAAAACGAGTTACTACTCCCCGGTGCCAGAATTGGGTCTTGGGGTAAGTTTCTTTTGAAAAGACCATTACAGTTCAATCTGTGTGATTACCTTAGGAAGGGGGGCAAATAATATTAAAAGGTCAGTAAGTTAATAGTGATCAGTTTACTCAACGTGTGTGTAGTTACTATATAAAGTAATATATTCACTCTTAAAAGCACATTTCCTTAACTTATTAAGAGAAAAAAGCTAATCGCTTACACAAATAAGTAACTGTAATGGATTAATTGTTAAAGAAATTTTCCTCAACATATGTTAAAGCAAGTAAATGGAGCGGCGTAGCTGGTGGATTTCCCGAGAGCCTACACAGTTAGGGAAGTGTTGTGTCTCTGCTATCTGCGCCCTGTTCTTTAAAGCAAAATTTAGTTGAGAAGCAAAAAACAATTGCGAGTAGTACAGGTAGAAACCTGCACCTTACTGTTTCTCCACCACTTGCTAGAGTGCTGTAACAGCGCTATCAACAGTATCGTCTGCTTTGTCAGGAACCCTAGGTAGTAGAAACCTGTCTGGGCTGACATCGTAAAGCTTGAGTCCACAGACAGCTGGTCATGTGCGAGTGGGGCCGAGAAACTGAAGGGGCTGAAATTAATCTACAGCACTTGAAGATATTTCCACAAAATGTAACGAAGCTGAAAGAGGTGTGGGTGTTTATCCAATCCTCTGATAACGGCAGGACCAATAACCTTTACGTCTGCGTACCCTGGCTTTAGATGAAGATATTTGTGCATTGAAAGCCCTATTAAGCAGCACTGACACGCAAGACTTTTTGCCATTGCGAAGTATCTCATTTTATTTCCCTGGGCATTGTGCTGAAGGCCATACTGTACATGGACGGGAAACAATCCATTTTTGGTGATACAGGTGTATTGTATGTATTGTACCCTAGTCATTCTCTATTCTTAGTCTCTTCAAGCAAGAATTAACACTCACATTTCTTCCATTCTAATTTATTACAAGACAGAAGCACTTTTTTTTCCTCAAGCAATATTACTTCCCAGTCACATCTCCTAGTTTAGTGTGGCTCATGAGCTCATAAAAGTTTGAGAAAATGAACTGTTCTGGAAAAAACGTTCCCTATGTACTAAAAGAAGGTGCTTCTTAAATTATTATTAAGGATAACATGAAGTGCGTGATCCTCAAAGTTTCATGGAGATGCTTATTTCACTCGAAAACACTGATCTTAAAAAGCCGAAGAATTAAAAAAAAAACAATCAGAAAAAATAACACTAAGTGAATTCATATTCCCATAACACTGGAATTAAAGTTGTAGACTGTGCTTCGTATCTTCAAAATACAGTAAAGGATACGCTTCTTAAAAATGATAAACACTGAATTGCTACAGCTTCAATTAAAAACTTCTCTAATTTGACATCATGTAAAACATACAGGAATCTGTTGCACAGTTCTTAATTGCTGTTATTACTAATTAAAGTAGATGTCAGTGCAATCCAATCTCAGACCTACAGTATTTGACACTTTCCATCTTAATCATAAAAAAAATAAAGAAGATATATGGGAACATACACATAAAGTACTCAACGTTTCAGTTTTTAAAGTTGAGTTTCAGGCAACAGACTCACAATGCAAAAGCTTTTGGCCATGCCTCTTATTCTTTTTGAAGGCCTACAATATGTGATTCACATAGGATTAGAGCATTTTTATCCAAAATTACCTGGGACTGTTGGTTAATCTTGATTGTCTCTGGCTACAGGCATCTCCTTCACAGGTTTATACATCGTTATTCGGTTGTCCAAACAATCTAATATCCTTTTATATTCAATAGTTACACCGGACAGACGCATCATATGGACTACTGCTGTACATGTAGCAGAAATAACTAAATTTTAGGCGAATTAGCTGGTTTCATGGAGTACAATTGGGTTTGCAACGCTATTTCTAATTAATATTATAATATATGAATTAATATTACAAAATTATTTATATAAAATGAACCAATTCATTTTTTTCAGTGATTGTATAATAATCTCATTCAGTTGTACACAGCAAATAATCACATTCAGTTATACATTTTAAAGCGCTAGGTAAATGACTCTTTCATATTGCGTTTACGCTACCACTTTCTCAGTAAAATCTGTCAATAACTCAACTACACATTTCTTAGTACTTCAAAACTATTGAATACTGTACATTCCTCCTCCCTCCCTTTTCGACGCTCAATAAATACATGTTCCAGTATTTTCTGTAATCTGCACTGCTGTGGAAAAGGGCTTCACTCGCCCAACTGCTAAAAGACATTATTGATGGTCGATTGCACCAATCCGTCGCCGAGGTAAGCGGTACTTCCTGTCGTAATAACCAATCAGAAAACCCCTAATTGGAAAATCTCAACCCAAGGTTGTCAGCAAACGAGAGGGGGAGGGGAAATTTTAATGGTAGTCAATGTGGACATACCTTTCTAAACCTGAATTTATTTTGATTCGTAGTTTGTTTCTACTTCCTTAAGGTAAATTGACTTGATCTTTTTTGTACTTGGTTGTCCATTATTACAGTCTTTTGTACGTGTAAGTAATGTGTTATTTTGCGTAAGAGCGACGGGTGACAAGAAGTAGCTTTTCTGAACTTATTATTGATTTTTCTGCGAAGTTGACAGCATGTTGACCGGCTTCTGAAAGAAATGTAAAAGTTGTTTGTTTTCCGTAATACGTACAGTATGTTAGTAAATCGGTAGTGACCCTAAGCGTACGAACTTTTCTTTTATTTAGAGGAGGTAGTTAGCAGAAGCGCTGCGGAAGTCTAACTCAGCCAGTACAGTCATGGGAAGCCATGATCCGCTCAGCGGCTTTTCCAAAATAACAGGTATTTAGAAAAAAAGGCAGTACTGTAAGTGTGTGAAACACTTATTTGTCTTTTAAATAGTCTTGTAATGGCGATCGTCGAAGCAGGATCATCGCGTTGCTTTTGACGGGACCGTGGTCAAGTTTATAAGCGAAGTTTGTCAGAAATGAAAAGTCGAGGCCTGCGAACAAAGTGTATTTTTTAATGTACTTAGCTCAGTCAGGAAGTGGAAATAACAGACATGTTGATCGTCTTCATCACGGCGTGCTGGAGTATGTTCCGCCACTGTCAATCAATCGAACAGAAATGAAAGAATGGGACTGCGTATTTTACGTTATTCTTTTCTTAAAAATAAAAAAAAATGTATCTTTTGGAAATTAATGATTTCCAGTATAGTTCGTAAACGCAGCCAGAACAACAGTTAGGGTTGTAATCTAGTGAAAGAAAAATACAAACAGCTATTAACGGCAAATAATCACAAAACGTAGTATATGGAAAAACTAATGTATATTGAGAGTTAACGTGACTTATTCGGCGTTTGTGCCGTAGGATCAATGCAAACAATTGGACAGCTGCCAAGTTTTTGTATCACCCTTAGTCCTATTTACAATGTATTTCACGATCAACGTGTTATTGTTTAAATGTTTCCTTTACCTGTTTACGCTTGGATTGACATGTTCAGCTGCACGCCTAAAAGGGCACTATTTCGCTATCAAGCTTGCTGGGTTGGAGAAGAGGCGTGACACTCAGTTGTCCACATGAATAGCTTATTGTCATGTAAATCAGAGCACGCTTCCCATCTCTGTGGTACACGGGTGGCTTATGACCTCTGGGTGATGGCTTTGGTGTAAACCTGACGATCCCCCTCCTGCTATCAAAAACAAAACCGGATTAATGAAAATTTTTCCAGGGCGTTCAAAGATAAGAATTAAAATTGCCATCTGTAAAACCCTCGTTATCAGTCTTGGTACTGGAAAACCTGTGTGTTTGCTGACTCCAGTTCCAGCTGTGCTGGTAATTACCAGTGCTAATTGCTATCAGAATTGCTCTGCTTGAAGACTTAGGCTTTTTTTCTGAAGTCAGGCCTTAGTTTAAGAACAAAACCTAGTACAGTTGTTTTCAGGCTTCATCTTGAGTAACCCCTGTGTTATCTGGTTTTGCTTTAGCTAGGTTAATAATGACAGGTTATTTAATTTCATTTTTCTGTTTGAGGTTTTTTTTTTAATTGGCTTTCAGCTCTTAAATAGCCGAGATTTGTAATTAGCACGAGCCCTGTCCTAATTAGTGAGTTTTAGCACTGTCCTCTTTCAGGTCCGTTATCTGAAATATAAGCCATTGGATTTAAACAGAAGGGAAAACATATACTGTGGGAATTGTGTGATACCATAACATTAAGGGCTGTTTAGTCAGAAATAAAGAGAGTAATTACTTAACAGGCAAGTTGAGGAGAGGCTACATGAAGTTCTGTATGTGGAAGGCATTTCCGCATGATTAATGCACATTAATTAGGGTGTTTTTGAAAAGACAGCCTGAGTGCAGAAATAAAGTCGAGAGCAGAAAGCAGATTAGTTACAGGCACCTCTAACAAGTCAGTAAGGTCTAAGAGGGAACAGAAGCCTACAGAGAAAGGGATACTTCAGGACCGGGACTCAGAACCATTTGCTATAGAGCAGGGGCCCAGTGGCTGGAGGGTTAGTGTGTCTGCAGGTTTTCAAGGTTTTTTTAAAGCAGCAGCATCCCCTGAGGAGCAGGAGAAACTGTTGAATTGGTCCAGTTAAGCCAGTAATCAGCTGGTTTAATTGTCAGTCAGAATGCAGACCTGCCGATACTTCTGATGACCTGTACTGGATGTCACTGGTGTAGAATGAAACCGGTTTCCAGTTGCATTTGTTTTAAATTATATAGATGGTCATATAACAGAGTAGTGTGCATTTTATGTGTCATAACAGTTTTTATTCTAATATTGATAAGTAATTGCATTATTATTTTTCTAAATAACAGCATGCAATGTTTCATACATGTTAGGGTTTCTCTCTACTATATTCAGAGACTGGTATATGGCTGGATTTAGGCTGGATAAATCCAACCAAATTCCAGTCTTTTTGAATTTGGATGACTTTTGATTTTGTGTTCATTGTGGTCACATTTCCTGTCAGTTTTCATGCTGTTAATGCTGTGCTGTAAGCATGTTAAGATACTGCAAAAAACAAACAAACTTGTACGCAGACGCTGTTAAGTTTTTTTAACGCATTAAAAAGTAAGTTGTGACAATATTTCTCGGCTGCTTGATGTACATAACTGTGTTAATTTTTGTGTTGTAGTTATACTAGTTACATATGAATTTTACATCTAGTCGCAAAATGTCGTGAGAGGGCCATTGATAATCATTTCTTCTTTATTATTTTTTATACTTAGACCATTTAACTTTTGTGCTTTTATATACAGTTGCTTCAGTTTGTATTTGTACACCCCCCAATTGTAATATTACTGAATAGCCACTGTAAAGATGTAGGAGCACCTATGAAGCTCATGATAAAACAAAAAAAATGTTTTCTGATTTTCATTTGAAGAGTATATATACAGCGGACATATGGCGCATCAGTAGGTGTTGGAAAGCCACAGTTGTGAGAACCTGGAACAAGCTACCCAGCCATATTGTTGAGCCAGATACCCTGACTTATGTGAAGAACTGGCAGAATGACATCCTTGGATTAATTAGCTGCTAACAGGCACATGAGCCAGAAGGGTTGAGTGTCCTCCTTTCATTTGTGTTCTTATGTTGTTGGAGGATTTTTTCCGACTGCTTATTTGGTCTGTTATTTCTTCCCTTGAGGTGCGAGTGGCATCTGAACACATGTCCACACCAACAGACCCCACAGGCGGGATGCCTCACCCCGGCCCCTCGCCTGGACCAGGTCCGTCCCCTGGCCCCATTCTGGGGCCCAGTCCTGGACCAGGTCCCTCACCTGGCTCGGTCCACAGCATGATGGGACCCAGTCCCGGCCCACCCAGCGTCCCACACAGCCTGCCGGGACAGGGGGCTGGGGATTACCCGCAGGACAGCATGCACCAGATGCACAAGGTATTAAAAAGACGGAAGGATGGGGAGGGGGCTGTGTATGTGATTGCAACAAGTGACCAAAACACTTTTGGAGGGGGTCCGACACCTCCTCAGATGCCTCCGGCTCAATTTGATTTAGCAAAAAAGACAAAAGATGGGGTGATGCCTCTTTTGAGATGAGCACGAAATTGTCTATTGTGTGCATCTATACGTTAGTGGTCAGCGTTATGGTGCCATTTTAGGGGAAATTGTTTGAGAGTAAAGGTTCAGCGTAATTTACTAATTTATATGAAAATGTAAATTCTTGCTCAAAATGCAATGGGCTGTTTTTGCCTACATTTTGGGGCAAAGTTTCTTATCCAAGTATGCTTCTATGTTATGCCTTTATGGCTTGAATATCTGTTTTTTATGTAAAGATTGTAAGAAGTGCACATATACTGAAGAAAGGCTTCTTTGGGTCAAAAAGTAACTCAAACGATTTTTATTGTTGTACAACAATATTTACAAGCTGAAAATCACTTTATTAGCCATACATTTTCTGCATTAGGAATTTGTTTTTTTTCCGCATACCCCAGCTTGCTCTCCATGAGACACAGAGGCACACAGACAGGGAGAAAGAAGCTTGGGGTCAGAGTGCAGGGTCAGCCATTTGTACAGTGCCCCTGGAGGAGCTGGGGTTAAGGGCCTTGCTCAGGAGCCCAACAGAGTAGGATTCCTCTGCCGGCCAAGGGATTTGAACTGGCAACCTTCCAGCCACAGGCACAGATCCTGAGCCACCGTGCTACCGCTCAACTAGGACGCTTAAAATACCCAAGTGATTTTTGTACTGGTTGTTAACAGATTTTTTCCTTGGATCATTGATTCAATTTCCGTACCGGTGTCCTAAAAACTATAACGGATAATGATTCAGGATGTTTTTGACAAAATCATGTTTAGGCATGGTTTGTCTTGGGTCTGTGTTTTCAATTTCATTTTCTTTCACTCATGTTACATCAGCCCATGGAAGGTATGCATGACAAAGGAATGGGGGATGAGATGCATTTTGGCCAGATGAAGGGCATGGGAATGAGGTCACTCCATGCTGGAATGGGCCCACCACAGAGTCCTATGGATCAGCATAGCCAAGGTATCTCCAGCTGTCATTAATCTTGTGTGTGTTCTGAGGAACTTCTGGGTTCTGCGTATATGCTTATATAAGTAAGAAGGAAAATTATGTGGAGATATTGTTAACTATGCACCTGATTTTCTGTTTTAATCAAAGTTTAAATGTTTCAGCTCTTTGGCTGCCATTGTTGCCTGTTTAAATGCAACAGTGTTTTGTTGATGAAGTTCATGGTATTTATATAAAAAGATCTACCAACCTTTCTGCATATAAATAGGCTGTTTTTGTTTGTAAGTTTAGCTTTTGTAATAAAATATGTTTATTTGGTTATTGTCCATAGTATTGCTACACAAACACCCTTAGACTATTGATAGCTCTTGGCAGCAGTTTAGAAAAAAAAAATCAAATGAAAACATCAGTATTTTCTTCTGTTTTAACGTCCCCAAATCCTGGTCTTCACCATCTTTGTTGATTTCAGCTTCTCTCTTCATGACACAACAAAATGCTCCATTGATTATTCAAATGTAATGCTTTTAAGAAATTAAAGGACAGTGTATATTTTAAATGTCCTCTTAGAATTTAAAGAGTAAAATTTCTTGTAGCCTTGCAAATGACCCTCTTTGCAACTGCTGTTTGGATTGGGACCCCCCCAGTTTGAAAAAGACTGTCCTAGATAGAAAGAAAAACTCTCTTAATGTTGTATGCTTGAATGTTTGTGCAGGTTATTTGTCCCCTCACCCGTCGCCCATGGGAGTTCCAGAACATGCCTCCAGCCCAATGTCAGGAGGGGGTCCGACACCTCCTCAGATGCCTCCGGCTCAATCAGGTCCATTGATGCCTGTAGACCCCCAGGCCATGAGCCAGCAGGGGCGCGGCCCCTCTCCTTTCAGTCCGGTCCAGCTGCAGCAGCTCCGAGCTCAGATCCTGGCCTACAAGATCCTGGGCCGAGGTCAGCCTTTACCAGAAAATCTGCAGCTAGCAGTTCAAGGGAAGAGAAGTCTCCCAGCAATGCAGCAGCAGCCTGTAACCACGCCTTACAACAGACCACCTGGTAAGTGTTGGAGCTGATAATTAATCGAAAACTAGGTGTTAGAGGGGTTACCTTCTCCCCGAGAAGGACGATATCCATGGGTATCCTACCTCCTGTATCTCTCTACTGCCACAGAGGAGAAGGTGTATGAAATCCTGTTAGTAGTTATAACATCATGAAGCCTGATCTTGACAGATCTCAGAAGCTGAAAGAAGTTTTGTTTTGGGAATGTATGAGTGGAAAAGATCACACTGGGCTTTTTCCTGTTTTTCATAACATTTATGTTATGTTTTTTCAGAACATTATGTTTCTTAAAATAATATTAAGGTAACAAATTCCTTGTCAAGAAAATCATAGAAATAGTGGCATGTACTGGATTTACATATTTGTTTTCCCCACTATGTTCACTCTCCTTCATCATTCATTTTCATGATAATTTAGGTATGCCAGCACATCCAATGGGTGGGCCTCCAGCAGGACCGTCTCCTAGTCCAGGAATGCAGGGACATTCCTCTAGTGTGGGTCCCAAGCCTTGGACTGAAGGTATCTCTGTGTAACACGTTTGCTAAATTCCAGACCTTTGAACTCTGTCTCTGCATATGATCCAGCTGTTGGTACTTACCTTTTAAAAGTTTCAGAGAGTGTTTTTATTTTCAAATCTCCTCTATTATTGCAATTATAATAAAACAGTCTGAGAGAATGAGAATTATCATAAATCTTTTAACTGGTTTGCTTTTGTCATCCTGGGCCATCCAGTTGACTTTGGGTCAGTACGTTTCCTCTTATTATTAACTGAGTGTGAGAAATATTCTAAAACGTTGTAAGACGTTTTCAAAGCTTTTTGATTTTGCATTACTGTAGCTTTATTTCCATTCACAAAAAGGAAATTGACTCACCCAAGGTCAATTGAATGTTTGTGGGAGGCCAACAAACCACTAGCTTAAACCTTAAAAAACGTAAAAGGAAAAAATGTAGGTTTTAGCATTGTTTCCTTAACACTATTTAATGATGAGTTTTGGAAATAAAGAGGCAATGCAAGTTTTTAAAGGAACCATTGGTATGCTTTAATCCCTCTATAATGAGGAATTACTATACAATATTTTGTTTATATGAGATGTAATTCCTAACTGTTCTTTTTTCACTCTTAAGAGCTGGGCTCTTGTAAGGCATCATGTTTTCTCTCATCTTTTTGGTGATGTTATGATGTTTGAATTATTTAAGATTTAAGATCACTTTATAAGCCATATACAATTTCGTGCATTATGAATTTATTTTCGCATACCCCAGCTTGCTCTCCATGAGACGCAGACACACAGACAGGGAGAGAAGCTAGGGGTCAGAGCGCAGGGTCAGCCATTGCACAGCACCCCTGGAGCAGTTGGGGTTAAGGGCCTTGCTCAGGAGCCCAACGGAGTAGGATTCTTCTGCCAGCCGTGGGATTTGAACTGGCAGCCTTCCAGCCACAGGCACAGATCTTGAGCCACCATGCTACCGCTCAACTAGGATGATTAAAATACCCAAGTGATTTTTGTACTGGTTGTTAACAGATTTTTTCCTTGGATCATTGATTCGATTTCCGTACCGGTGTCCTCAAGCGCAGATCCTTAGCCACAGCGCCACCGCCCTGCCCCTATTACGATGTTTTTTCAAGAAGTTCAGGAATTTACTTTTTTATTTTTATTACATTTTAACCTTTTATGTTAAAAAGGCTTGTGTGTGTTAAGTGCATATAGTACTCGATAGTACCTAATGTTTATGCGTTTTCTAACGGCTATAATGATGTAACTACTGTACTGCACCATAAATGAGCAAGTGTTTTATTGTTTTCCTATCCATTGTTTATGTATCGGCTAGTGGCTTTAAGCATGTTACTTAAATGAATAAGGAATATTGTTATTGTTTTCAGGATTTATTCTGTGGTGCATTAAGGTGAAGTGTGGGTGTAAGCGGGACCCTTTTTGAGTTTTGGAACCAATCAGAGATTTTAACATGGGAACAAAGGGGAATTTAGTTTCTATTATAGAAACTGAGTTTTCAGTATGTGAGCAGTTTTCAAGGAACGAATTAAGGTTGTTCAGTGAGGTATTATTGTATATAGGTTTTATGCATAACCTTTCTTACAAGTTTTACAAAAATATTTCTCAACGGATAAAAAATATTTATAAGCATAATACAGAATGCTTTATCCTGTGTACCAGTGAGGGTACTTTCCTGAAAACTGTTAGTATAAATGCAGTCAGATAGAAACATTGAAAGTAAAAAGTGTTGTAGTGGGTATTAGGGATTTCCTTTTTTTTCAGGCCAGAATTCAGAAACCCCAAGTACCCCTCAGAAACTACCAGTACCAACTACAAGTGGGAGACCTTCACCTGCTCCACCTCAGGTACCAACTTCTGCAGCATCTGTACCTAGTTCCTCTGTGGCCCAGCAGCCTCCAGGCCAGCCTTCTCCCATCATTCAACTGCAGCAAAAACAGAACCGCATAACTCCTATTCAGAAACCACAGGGACTGGACCCAGTGGAAATTCTCCAAGAGAGAGAGTACAGGTAATCTAGTGCTTCACAGTTTTTTTTTATGTGAAAGAGATTTAATTATATTTTTTTAAACAGAACCAAGTAAGAACAAAATAGTGTAACACAACAGCATCCCCCTCCCAAATGTACAGCACTGATGGTACCCCCTAGGCATGAATTGGACATTTACAATAGTCCCACTGTGCAATATAGATTTGATTACATCAGCATTCACATAGGTTTGTAACAGTTCAGTGCTGACCTAGTCTTATTTTATTTTTTCTCTTTGTCCAAAGGCTGCAGGCAAGGATTGCTCACAGAATCCAGGAACTTGAGAATTTGCCTGGTTCTTTGCCACCTGATCTGAGAACAAAAGCTACTGTGGAGTTAAAGGCCTTAAGGCTTCTCAATTTCCAGCGCCAGGTAATAGCTTTTGTCTTTCTGCTTTATTAACGCATCCACTCTTTGCATGTGTAAAGAACGTGTCGCAAATGTTTTGTTAATCCAGTGGAGAAATACACAGCATCTTTTCTGGATGTCTTTAAGCATCTTAAAGACATTAGTTATGTTTTCAATATTGGTGGCCGTTTTTGCCAGCTAAAGAAAACAGGAGCATTGTTCAAGGCCAGAAAATGATTTTCGAATTTTGTACTGTATTGCAAACATTTTTAAAATGAATAATTCATTGATGTATGAACATTGGAGAAAATGTCTGTTTTCATGTCTTTTTCCCCAAAGGTGACCCTACTCTTCCTCAGTGGTTTGTGCACATTCTTTGAGTCCAAAGAAATATAACAAACTTTAAAAAAAGTTAAAAAATATAAAAACCTGGATAGTATTATATACTAAAGCTGGTAGTGTAACTGCACTTATATCGCTCCTAGTCATCCTGAGTGCGTCTCTGTTAACAGCTGAGGCAGGAAGTGGTGGCCTGCATGCGTCGCGATACAACCCTGGAGACAGCCCTGAACTCAAAGGCCTACAAGCGCAGTAAACGGCAGACTCTCAGGGAGGCGCGAATGACTGAAAAACTAGAGAAGCAACAGAAGATTGAGCAAGAAAGGAAACGCCGACAGAAACACCAGGTAGACCAGTAATAAAGTAATATAATTATCTTTAAAGAAACTTGAATCAGCTTAGGCTTATGGTTATTTGGTTGTGGTCACCAAAAAGTCAATGCTAATTTACATATTTTGTCAAAAACAAGCACCTGTTTAGTGACTAAATGGACCAGCCTATTAAATGTCAGATGCATTCATCAGAATGATTGTATGTTGATCAAGTAATTAATACATTGGAAAAGTGATAATATGGCTCATTAAGCTCCTTGATCTTAATCTGTTTCAGCCTGTATTTTGTCAACTCTTGGTTTTGGTATTGCTTGGGATAATGGGAAGAAAAGTGAAATGAATGAATAGAAATCGTATGAGCTCTGATTGTAACTTCCACTCACTTGCTTCTTCAAATTCTCATTTTAGGAATACTTAAACAGCATACTTCAACATGCGAAAGACTTCAAAGAATATCACCGGTCAATTACTGGCAAAATTCAGAAACTTTCTAAAGCCATTGCCACCTGGCACACTAACACTGAGAGGGAGCAGAAGAAGGAAACGGAAAGAATTGAGAAAGAGAGAATGAGAAGACTGATGGTACGTGCTCATTTATAAGAAAACACCTGAAGTTACTTCATGAGAAATTTAGCGCATTAATAGACAAGCACAACTCATACACTTCTCAAAGTAAAATCATGCAAACTAACATTTGGTCAGGATGTTTCTGCAAATGCTGCAAAAATGATTTGATTTTAAAATGATTGGGAAGTCAAGTTAAAAGTGAGTGATAGGTTAGAATAAAAATGTTTATAAGTGTAACTTGTACACGCACAGTGATGGACTGTACTGTATTTGGGCAGTTACAAATAAAACTTATCTAATTTATGGTCCTTAACCCTACTCTATTCCATTTATTCTCTTGGAAAGAACTTCCCTGCTTTAAGTCGCTTGGGCAGTGTACACTTTTACAGTTCCTAACCTCCCATATATTTACATTGTTCTAAAAAAGTACCCTATATCTGTCATTAAGCTACTGTATATGTTGCAACTTTATCTTCCGTAACCCTGACGTTTACTAGAGACTCCCTGTATTTACATTACTTATTATTTAAAGTGTTCTTTTTGACTTTACAGCAAAGGAAATATTGTGTTTGTTTCAAGCTCAGTACTGAGTGATTTAACATAACATATTTTTGTTAGTTTCATGAGAAATCAATATGTCTACTTATATTGCTCATGCAGGATTTATTTAACTTTATGATAGTGCGGCCGTGAACCTCTTTTTACCTTTCTTGCTTGCTTTTCCCCTTTCAGGCAGAAGATGAAGAAGGATATCGTAAGCTGATTGACCAGAAAAAAGATAAGCGGTTGGCGTACTTACTGCAGCAGACTGATGAATATGTCGCTAATCTGACTGACCTTGTCTATGAGCACAAAGCAGCCCAGGCTGCCAAGGAGAAGAAGAAGAAGAGAAGAAAGAAGAAGGTCAGTAACATGACTCATCATGCAAAAGTCCATAAAAGTGCAATTAACATTTTTGGGAAAGTTTTATACTATTATTTTTCTTATTCATAGAAAGTACAGGAAAACGATGACGAAATGGGAACGAGTCTGGGGCCTGATGGAGAGGTAGGCAACATTTTCTGTTGATACATCTGAAGAACCAAATTATTCTGCATCATTTTTCAGTAACAGTGCATTTTTGAAAAACAAGAGCTGTGATATAGTGGAACATTATTAATTATGATCTAATTAGGACTTTAAGTCAAGAATATTTACTTTTACTATTCCTAAATATAAACATACAGTATACGAAAGTGTGCTTAAATTATTTTTTTTTGCTACAGCCAATCGATGAAAGCAGTCAAATGAGTGAACTTCCAGTGAAAGTCATTCAGACTGAGACCGGTAAAGTACTACAGGGAACAGATGCACCAAAGTCCAGTCAGCTGGAGGCTTGGCTTGAAATGAACCCTGGGTATGAATTTGTCATGATTTTTTAATACATCTTTCTTTGACAACAAAATAAAATAATGAAATAAATTCAATTGCCGTAAAAAAAACAAAACTGTGATGGCTTTTTGAAATAATCTACATCTCTTTTTACTTAGTGCATTTCTTTTTGCAGAAGCTTGGTTTTATCCATTGTGTTATACGAAAGCCTATAAGTTAATCATGATCAGTGATGAAGAACACTTAATAATGAGTCACTTACATTTTAATATATTATGGATTATCTACTAACTCTTCATTCTGTTTATGTATAATTTTACATTAAGTTTATTAGGATTTTGATAAATGTAAATTACTAAATGTAGAAAGTTTCTTCTCAACCAAACTAAACTATATTACTAATAACTGTATTATATGGTTGTAATGTTAAAAGTAGGAAACACAAGTGGAGTAATCTGGTGTTTTTAATATGCATTCATCTTGTGTCTAAGACTTTTGCCTCGCAGTGCATATTCTAATTACTTTTTGTAAAAATGAGCCAAAACAAATATTATATGTCAGAATTAAGAGCTGTGTTTGGAAAAACTGCAAATGCAAAAAATATACCCTTCGGTATGTATTTCCAGATTGAGGAAATAAATCCAGATATCCCTACTAAGGTAGATGATGGAATCCTAACAGTTCATCTTCATTTATTCTTAATATATATTATTTTAATTTTAAGGTATGAAGTTGCTCCTCGATCAGATAGTGAAGAAAGTGGATCAGAATTTGAAGAAGAGGTATGTTTTTTCAGTTCTGAATTTCTGTAATGAAGGGGCTAAGCATTTGCCTGTGACTTCTTATGCAGCATTCTGGGGGGTCATTAAGCCAGCATCCCATGTGTAAACACCCATCTTTTTCTGACATACTCTCTTTGGAAACCTGTTTTTTGTTTTGTCCCCAATATTTTTTTTGCTCCAAACTTTCCTTTTAAAACTTTGCTTCTACACATTTCAATTTCAGAGCATGAAATTGGATATCAGATATCAGAGATGCATGTTTTGTGTCTATACAGGATGAGGATGAGGTGGTGTCTAAATCCGAATCTGAAGAAAAGAAGATTATTGATCCTAATAGTGATGAGGTGTCTGAGAAGGCAGCAAAGCACATAATTGAGTATGTAGCCAAAGTTACTACATAACAGTGTTTTATCAACAGTATTTTAGCTTAAATCTCAAGGGCATTGACTCACTTGTTTTTATTTTAACAAATGGTTACTGTGTAAAAAGAATGTGATTATATTGCAGTTTTGTAAATATTGTTTTCATCAGGTAAAGTATTCACAAACTAAAGTATGTTGATTTTAGACTATACTGTAGTCCAGTGTGCTTCAAGAACAACTATTGGACTTATATTGTTGTATTTCTTTCTTCCCAGCAGTAGGTTTCTTTGGAACTTTTTAATTAAGTTTATTAAGGCTTTATATTTAACATTTACAGGAGGATTTACTGTGAGAGACTTATTTGGGTTACGTATTGTAGTTTAAACAAAACATACAGTGTTATGGTTTTAGGTGATTTATTGAGTTTTAAAGGCCATACAAAAGAAGTTAAATTTTGATAAATCTTCAAATTGCAGATTATAACTTTTGGCGTTTGTAGCTGGCATTTTTAATAAAGGTGTAAATTTTCCATTTGTCTCTCCAGGAATCCACAAAGTTTAAAAAAATACAATTAAAAAGCCATTGCTGAAGTAAAAATATATTTTATATAAATTCTGTGACTAATGTTTTTTAAATAACACCTATATAAAAAAGTAAATAAAATGTTTAATAATGTACAATATAAATATATACAATATTTTACAAATATTTTTATTTGAACTTTTCACAGTAGAGTCCTTAGAAAATAATGTATTTTTAAACTGCGCACATATCCGTAGTCATAGAACAACACCCGTTTGAATTGTAAGGTTCAAGTGATCATATACAGGCTGTATATGTCATATAAGTCGGGTAATAACCTTACTTATAACGTCACTAAATTGCAATGAGTATATATCTAAAATGAAATATGCCAGACCGTTCATTTCTCACAATACGTACTGAAACTATTTTGGAAAGTGCTGAGAAATACTATGAACAGTATGTATCAAATGTGTAGATCAACTGAAAGTATCACGATGATCAGATACTAAATAATCTCAAAATATTCACTGCAGAAAACAGTAGTGATTTTATAGTTTTGAAAATAATTTGAGAGTACTCATCAAATTAATATGGAAACCTACAGACTGATTTTTGTAACTAAGGATTTTAATCAGGTTTTGTTTCAGTAAGTAATCATTCTAACTCTAAAATGCAAAACAAAATTGTACTTTTTTAAGATACAATAGTCATAAGATACATAGTGGTGGTTACAATTTCTCAGGGTAGTTTTTTTTTGTTTTAGTTTTTAGTTTCTGACTTCAAGTGATCATTGATAGTTGATTTTCTTTTGTGCTAGCATAACAATCCATAAATTTCAGAACAGCTTTTACTGTTTTCGGGAAGGATATTGGAAACTATACAATCTTCTGCAGAATTATTCTTATTTAAATAGGTAATGGTTTTGATCAGGCAGTTCACAGGTACAGTGGCATGCCAGCATGGAAACAACGTATAAAGAAATCTGGGGTTCTGTGTTAGTTTCACGCTGTGTGACTGTTTTCTAGAAGAATTGTGCGTCCATGTAACTTGTGAACTGATTTATGTGTTCAGTATGTAGGGTACATTTTTAGTAAGGTCATGGGGAACAGCTTTGGTGAGGATTTGCAACCTTGCTGTCACCGATTCTGAAGTTACCCTGAATGCCAGTGGGTTGATTTTGACCCTTTTGTCACTCTAGGTCCGCCAAGCAAGATGTTGATGATGAGTACAGCATGCAGACTGGGGAAAGAGGAGCTCAGTCTTACTATGGAGTAGCACATGCAGTCACGGAGAGAGTTGAGAAACAGTCCACTCTGCTTATTAATGGAACCCTGAAACATTATCAGGTAAAATTGAAATCCCATTATTATCTGGATCTAAGCAGTACCCATAGTTCTAATGTGTATATTCTTTGTAAAAGAAAATCTTGTTGTCCATTTCCATTTATACATTTATAATCCCTTTTCAAATGTGTTCATTTATACCAATTTTTTTATTTTTTAAATCAACGTTATAAGTGGTTTTATACCAGGCAATGTAAAGACCTAACATGCGTAAGCATATGTTTTAAGTACTTCTTTTGTAAGATAGAATTTATGTTTTTTTCTCACAGCCCTTTTCCCTGTTAATATGATCAGTAAATTATACATTTTACGATTACAGTACTACGAAAAAGATTGATGTTTAAAGCATAGTTGACCTGGAGTGTTAGTTATGATTAGGGGAAAATGCTTCTGTAAATTCATCTGCAAAATTACAAACTACAGAAAGCCACATGCATTTGCTCTGCATGTCCATTCCAAACATTTTGCAGATTATAATCCCACAATGAATCTATTGCCTCTGCTTTTCAGTAATGCGTGTGTGCTGTGTCTTATTTCCATCCTCAAAATGACAATAAAATGTCACTAAATTAAGTTCCTAGTACTCCTTACACATCTAATTTGTCTGTTAACGTACTTTTTCACATTTTGGAATTCAATTTCCTTTTATTTTAAGTTTGCCAATGCTTTATGTTTTCATGTGTTCTGGCAACCTGGTGAATAGACTGATTAATGACATTGTTTCCATAGAAACTTTTTTTTCTTTACTAACTTATATAACTGAGCATTTTATTACTCATCTAAAAGTCTGGAAACTTTTTTTTCTATATGGCCTATCTATGTGTACAGATGCAGCCATTCAAAGTGAGCGGTACACACACGTACTGGAGGTAATTGGCTACGGCATCGCGCATTGTGACGCACGATGACGCGCGGTACCGCGGTACGTGATTGGTTGACCGACAGGGGCACTCATGGTCCGTTGGTCGGTCGTAGAAAGATTTACAGTAAACGTCTTTACTGTGCCCGTTGTAGTATTGAATATTTATATGGAATTTTACCACTGAAGGGAAATCTTAGTACCTGAGCATAAAAAGAATAGCATACTGCAACGCGTGTGAAGGCCATAAACGATATTAATTTTGGAACTTAAACATACAGTATATGGCTGGTCTCGGTACTTTAAAGAAAACACACACACCAGTATTCCATTTCTCCCTAAACATTTTAAGCATCGAAGTCTTTAACGTGATACCGGAGTCAACAAGCATACTTTTAGAATTTGATTAAAAGGGAATATAATATGGAATCGTGTATCTAAAGAAATTAGGTCTCGCCCGCGCATTTTGAATGGCTGCATCTGTATATGACTTGCAGTAAGTATATATTCCTTAAGTAAACAGCACCAGTGCAACATATAACAACACAACACTGTATATAAGTACAGATGATTTTATGGAATGGGTACAGATGTTCCATAAAATAAAGAAAATCAAGTCTTTCACTTTGTGTTTATCTAATCAGTGTGATAACAGATGTGGAATAGTGCTGACAATTGATCTTAGGAAATAATTTACAGTATGTATGGATTTGTTTCTTTTTAGCTTCAAGGATTGGAGTGGATGGTTTCTTTGTACAATAATAATCTCAATGGAATTCTGGCTGATGAAATGGGTCTTGGGAAGACCATCCAAACCATTGCACTCATTACGTACCTGATGGAACACAAACGGCTCAATGGTCCTTACCTTATCATCGTTCCTCTGTCGTGAGTAATTGCCATAGTTACTGTGTTACTGCATTCAATTTATGTTAAAATATTTCAGAGTAAGGGACCTATAAATATTTTACTGTTTGAAAATTATTCATATGAAACTGTGGCTTTCAAAGTAGAATTCAAAGTAAATATAGAATATTATATATATAAATAAATTCCATTGAGCTTTCATTTGAGGTTTTGAGGCAACCTGTAAAATGTCAAACCCTGTTTTTCATATTTTTCGTTCTTTGCCTGGCCAATTCTCCAAAAACAAAATGTTGCATGGAGACCCTTTTTTATTTACATTTAAAATAGGCTTGGAAAGAAATGTACTTTTTCACATTCCTACACAAAATGTAACGTATCTTATAAAAGTATTCGTCCTGCAAAGTTTTCACATTTTGTTGCTGTCTGATCTAATAATTATAAAATTAGACTTGCATTTGTATTTAGAATCTACACAAATTACTCCAGTCTGGTGATAAAAAGCTGATATTTTGTATTTAAATTGGATTTTTAAAGAAAATTAGGAGATTCTAAATTGTACAAGTATTGGGTAAGTGGGCAACTGTAAAATGGTACAGGTGCTAATGAATAGTTTGAAAGGGCATTAACATAGTGTTATTGGTCTATGTGTATAAACAAAGTGGTATAACTTGACAGAAAAAGCATCGGTCTCTGTAAGGACCCTCAAATAGATACTGAATTTCAAAATACAACTGTGATACGCTAAATCCACCAAGGAGCTTTTGAAATAAATCATGGATGAAGTGGTAGAGTAACAGATCATGAGAAAGTTACTTATTGCTTTGAGTAAAGTGAGGTGAATTATTAGGAAGTTGACTGTGCATCATACCACCCAGGTGGAAGTCAGTGTTCATACATTGACAATTTCTTGGTTTCTCCACAAGGCTGGTCTGTGTGAGTGAATGACAAGAAAGATGTCATTATTGAAAAAAAACACTCATATGAGATATTCTGTAGACATAAGACAGAAGGATTTATGCTCAGGTGAGAAAAAAATTTTGGTCTGAATGCAAAAGCTTATGTCCTGGGCAAGCACAGCATATCATCTAGTCAACACCATCCTGACTATCAATCACGGTTTTGGCGGCACCATGTTATGGGGGTGATTCTCATCAGGGGGGACTGAGAAACCTGTCAGGATAGAGGGGAAAAAGGATGATGCAAAATTAGTTGAATCCTAAAAGAAAACCTGCTTGAATCTAAAGATTGAAAATGGACATTTCAGTAGAACAGTAACCTGAAGCACAAGGCTTATGCCAGGCTGAAGTAGTCTGACTGGGTAACTCAAGAACCTTCACTTTTCTCCAAGTTCTGACTTTAATCCAATCGAAAATTTATAGCCAGGCTTTGATTGCATTCTATAAATTCTTTGCAGTAAACTTGTGAGAACAATTTCCCCGGAAGAATGAACAAAATTGCATCAACGCATGATGCAAAGCTGGTAGAGACCTATACAAAAATACAGCAGCAATGTATTCCTTCTACCAGTTACTGCTTTAGACAGCTGAATACTTAGCCAATCAGTAATGTTTGCATTTTATATCTTCCCTGATGATTTTGAAATAAATTTGAAAAAAGGTACATTACTTATAATTCATTTAATATTATAGGCAGGTGGTGAATACTTTTACAAGGCACTGTTTGAATACACCTTGAAAAACATCTTTTCTTTCAGAACCTTGTCCAATTGGGTGTATGAACTGGATAAATGGTCACCATCTGTCGTTAAGATTGCTTACAAGGTAATCATTCCATTTTATTGGGTTCAGACATCATAACTTTTAGTTTGCTATTGCAATTTATTGTCTAGTAGCTCTGTATTTGTGGGTTTATTCAGTTGTGTTCCTCTAAATATGTCATAATTTTGCACTGCATCAATGTAAAGGAAGAGAAAGTCTCATAACATTTCCTGCAGCGTTCATTACAAAGTAAGCAATTGAGTAAGACCGGAGGTTAACTCTGAACGCTAAACTTGTGCACAAAGAAAAAAGGTACTTAAGACTGTGTGAAGTATATACTGAATAAGTTAAACAAGTTAAAAAAAGTCAGAAATTTAGAGAAATACAGAAGTTGCATTTGCAGCATTTTGATGATAATTCTTCTAGATAGATTGACTGCTCAGCCTGAATATATTTTTTAATCTGAATGTATTTTATATCTTCTTTTATTTGAAAGGGCACACCTGCAATGCGAAGATCACTTGTTCCACAACTTCGAAGTGGAAAATTCAATGTCCTTCTGACAACCTATGAGTATATTATTAAGGATAAACACATTCTCGCTAAGGTAAAACAATCTTTTTCATTAAAGCAGTATTAAGTGGGTTGTTGTCCATTATAGGAGACAACTCCTCAACGGTTATGAATTCCGTCTTTATAAACAGATCCGCTGGAAGTACATGATTGTTGACGAAGGCCATCGCATGAAGAATCACCACTGTAAGCTGACTCAAGTTCTCAACACCCATTACGTTGCACCTCGGCGACTTCTCCTGACGGGAACTCCTCTGCAGAACAAACTGCCTGAGCTCTGGGCTCTCCTCAACTTTCTCCTGCCCACTATCTTCAAGAGCTGCAGCACCTTTGAGCAGTGGTTCAACGCCCCCTTTGCCATGACAGGAGAGAGAGTAAAATATATTTTTAAATCCTTCACAACATTTTTCATAGGCATCGGAGCTCTGTTGTCAGCACATGTAACTTGGCCATGATTCTAATTATCAGTAGCCTATGTGAACGGTTGGGTTTGTTTGATGTGGTCTGTAACTGCAGGGCACTGGGTCATTAGGCCTGCTGGGTAGCTGCTAGACCTTAGCCTAATAATTTGACTCACCAGTGATTCCATTAGTTAATGTGCGGTTATGCCAATGCCCATAAAAACATAGGGAAGATTATAAAAAAAGGGAAGTGCATTTGGCCTATCTAGCTGGATTGGTTGCAAATAGACAATTTGAGCATTTCATTTAACCAGCCAGTTCTTGTTTGAAGCCAGAGAATCTGTTTCAACAACTGGTTTGTACCACACTTTAGCCCTTTGTGTTAAGACATTCTTCCCTGTTTTCAGTCTTAAATGTAACTCCTAATGTTGGCATGTCATATGCTAGTTTCACGTATGGTACGTTTTTACCATAGGTAAAAAAGAATATTTGATAGTTTACAGAACTTTCAATGCTTATAAAAGAGGCCTCTAAATGGTTTAAGGCATTTGGAAGAGACTTTACATTATACAAAGACACAATATAGAATATTTCCCTGCCCATGTATTGTTACTGGTAGTGTCTAATATGAAACTGTACACTTTTTGGTTCACCGTTTCACACATTTTTATTGACCTTGTACTGCTTTCAAAATAGAAGGTGAAAGAATTCTTTTATTGCTCATCGAAATGCATCAAGGAAATATTAATTTTAAACTGTATTTGAATATTTAATGCATTTTAACACTTTCAAATTGCTAAGAGCGTGTTTTCAATGCAAGTTAAAATGCCTAACTCCAAATTTAAACATCTTTGCTTTACTGTGTTTTCTGAACCCCAAAAATATAAGTGTAGAAAAAGACAAAAGAGCCTCTGCAAATTATTTTTAATGGTTGACATTCTGATTAACTCAGATGCAACTTAGGACTTAGTGAATTGTGTTTCAAACCTGTTTTAAAGGATCAATGACTGCATCCCTTTTAGAAGTCTCATGATGCTGATGTTCACTCCTAAGCTGGGAGGGACCTTGCCGAGCTGGGTGACCTGTTTTTCCCTAGTTGACTCTCTATAGCTAGACAGTCAAGTATGTGTGAGGATGCCAAAATAATTCCTTGCCGGAGAAAGGATATTGTTGTCTCAGTGTACAGCTCGAAATGTGGCTGGAGTCCACAGGTTTCTTTTTCACTTGTTCAGCTGTCTGCGGTGACACCTCTGGTTTTGAGGTTATTCTGGTTGAAACCACAGGATCTGATTTATGTATTGTCTTCCTTGTGTCTGGTGTATGACTAATGTCTGAACTACAGCTCCTGTCAAGCTATCCCCAAAACTGTGAAAATCTCAAAGAGCTGACGCATTCAGCAAAATCAAAATTTCAAAGTGGAATAGTGCTAAATTATTTTTATTTTTAAAAAATACTTTCACTTTAATAAAGCTTTTTCAAATTAAAAACAATATTTTCCCACTGTTTATATTCTTGATGTTTTAAAAATAAAATAAAAAGTTACATTATTATGCTCCCAAAAGTTCATAATGTGGCCTCCATCCCCAGTAGTATATGTAATTTAAATATCCAGAAATTCAGTTGGAATATTTGCGCACAATGGTTTGTATATGTTTATTTTACATCAAAGTAAACAAGTACAACTTAGTGTTCTCTGAGGGATCAGTAAAAAGTGGCATTGGTCCTCAATGACATTAAGAATTAAGGTTATTGAATTAGGAGGTAGAAAATCCTCAGGCTTAATAAGAAAGGGCGTTAGAAAAATAACAAGGAAACCTGCTAAGTGATCCCCCCAAAAAACAAAGGTCAGATGATGATGAATTTTTGTCACATCTTTCTTCCCCTGAATTACTCAAAGGTGGATTTGAATGAAGAGGAGACGATCCTGATAATCCGTCGTCTTCACAAAGTGCTTAGGCCTTTCCTGCTGAGGAGACTGAAGAAGGAAGTGGAGTCTCAACTGCCAGAGAAGGTTAGCATTGCAGTGGCAACTCATGAGGGGAAACTAAACCAGATTTAAGAGGTTACCCATTATCGTCATTTCTATCAAGCATTTTTTTTTTAATTTGACAAGTAATTAAAACAAGACTGAAAATGTATTAGCATAGTTACATTCCCTGCTTCTTTCCCTGATTTTCGATTTCTGCATTGTTTCAACATCACTCAAAGGTGAGGCAACCCTAAATCAGGTAGCCAGCTTACTATGAGGCTGATTCAAACTTGACATTTTATTTTTTACGGGTTGATTTCTTTGCTCGCTAAGTCTGGTATTTTATTTACCATACACTACACTGAACTAAGTGATTTGTGTGTCTCGGTGTTAAAATATGAAGACTTACTACCTAATGCTGTACCATCCATCACGTTTAGTAGAAATGAACGATGACAGCCTTCCTTGAGATAGACATGTGATTTTTTTCTCCTCGCCCTTCAGTAGTGATATTGAAGTAGCTTATAGTAACAAGACCTGATTACGATGACTGTTTTTAAGTAACTCAAATTATGTGAAGTAACAAAGTACATCATTAAAAAATGCACTCAGTAGTTAATATTCTTTGGGGGGGACATCAAGGACAAAGATTTAGTCTTTGTCCTTGATGTCACAGAATCTGTTTGAAGGAAACAGTCATATCGTGGTGCAACTTTCCCTGATACATGCTTTCCCTGATTACATAATTTTTTGTCAAGTTTGCATTTATTTTGCAAACCAATATAAAATCAATATAAAAAAGAAGTAAATGTTGCAGTGCTTGTATGTAACATGTCCTTGTTTAATTTAGGTGGAATACGTCATCAAGTGCGACATGTCAGCGATTCAGAAGGTCCTGTACAGGCACATGCAGGCCAAGGGCATCCTTCTTACAGATGGCTCAGAGAAAGACAAAAAGGTAAAGGACAGCTCTTCTGAAATGACCTAGTCTTATGGGCATTTTAGGGCATTCTGTTAGGTTCTGTATTTCCCATATATGTCACAGTTTATCTAATGTAAATTTCTTTTTTAGGGTAAAGGAGGTGCAAAGACACTAATGAACACTATCATGCAGCTGAGAAAAATTTGTAACCATCCCTATATGTTCCAGCACATTGAGGTTTGTACCACTGGTGGTTATGACACTATATTTCTTATAAAAAAACGAATGTAATTTCTAGTGGTTTAATATAGAGTGTTGGATAATGACAATAGGCAAAGTAGTTAAACTCTGTCCTTTCATTTCCATTCATTTTCCTTCAAACTGGACACAATTCTTTAAAGGATGATGTATGATGTATCTGCAACTCAAAGAGTTGAGTGCTCATTTGGGGAAAAAAAAGTGAATCCTTTATTTAAAGTATACAAATATTTTTCTCCAAAGGAGTCCTTTGCAGAACACTTGGGATACCCAAATGGCATCATCAATGGGTATGTACCTTTATATGTGTAGAAAATTGATCGCATAAAAAGTGATCCTGAGGCCATGGAGTGTGGATAGAAACCTCAATATACTGTTACCTCGACCTTTGTCATTTGTTAAACCTTGAGATATGATATGGTGACCAATACCTACATGTATGTATAATTTTTACAGACATTTGTTGTTTTCTTTTTAGGTCTGATCTCTACCGTGCATCTGGGAAATTTGAATTGCTGGATCGCATTCTTCCAAAACTCCGAGCTACAAACCACAGAGTTCTGCTCTTTTGCCAGATGACGTCTCTAATGACAATCATGGAAGATTATTTCGCTTATCGTAATTTTCTTTACCTGCGTCTTGATGGTATGTCATACTGTCATACAATACATGACAGAAAATAAGTTTCCAGTAGCTTATTAGTGCGTATGCACTAATCTATGTGACTTGATTGAACACTTCTAACATGGAGTGTGATGAACAGAGAAGTTGCTGGAAGTTCACTGTTGGTCATCTTAGTGCTCTTTCAACGTGCATGTTTCCGAGCAGTCTGAGTGTTAGGAAAACACTGGGACAACTTAATTTTATTCAGGAATTAGCAGGGGACATTCCCTGTAGTCCGTTTGGTTAATCATGATCTGAAAATTAAGTTAATTGATATCTTTGCTGCAGAAATTTGTAGATGTAGAAAAAATATATATCAAAATGCCCTTTACAAATTACGGTGTACTTTAGTTGTAAAATGTCTGAAATATATAATACAGTATTACTAGTGATAAATTGTCGTGGAATATATAATTATATAGGGTCACATGGTGGTGCAGTGCTTAGCATTGCTGGCTCGCCGCACTGGGGCACTGGGGTTCAATTCCAGACCTGGAGTTCTATCTACGTGGAGTTTCTGTGTTCTGCCTATGTTCACCTGAGTTTCCTTTAGGTGATTTCCTCCCACAGTCCAAAAACTACTGGTAGGTTAAGTGGTTTATGAGAAAATTGACCCTGGTGCAAGTGTGTGTGTGTCTGTGTCTGCCCTGTGATGGACTGCGATTCCAGGTCTGGAATTGATCCCAATGTCCAGGGTGTACTCTGTCTTGGAATTGTAAGAAAGTGGGCTTGTGTGGAAAAGGGCACTGCATACACAAATGTTTTTTTGTTTCTGTCCTCTCTCATTGGTGTGTGATGTGATCAGTTGCTCTAGGGAGAAGAGCACCAAAAGTTAAAAATATGCAATATAGAGATTTAAGAGAATTTAAAAAAAGAAACAATATTTTTATATAAGTCAGCGGTGTGGCACGGTAAAAGACGAGAAAATATTCAAGAGAAACTATCATTTAAATATAGTAAAACAATCATAGAGCAGTTTGAGAAGGGATTAGTCAACTGGCTGTTTAGGCAGGATTTGAAGAACAAGTTAGGAAGCTAATGAGAGTTAGGTTCTTGATTCTCTTTCACTGTTGAAACTGTTAAATCCTGTTAGAAATATAATTCTTATTGTTGTGTTAAAAAATCAATATTTCTATTAGTCAGACTAAATCAGACATTTTTGAAGCAGTGTTTTTATTTATTCTGGTTGGGTATTTTTTTAATTTAACTTCACTAAATTGGTGATATCTTATTGACATTTAGTGAACACTGATTCAACTGGCAAGTTGTGGTAGAAGTTCCTGGTAAATTTACTGATGCACATCAGGAAGTCAGAATGTATCCTTACAACTTCAGATGTGTTTTAAAAAAATGGTAAAGGAGGTGGTGGGTGGCATAAATTTGTCAAGTGTGCATAAAGAATAATTTGCATGCGAGTTTCTTTCTCTGAATACATATTCCTATCTTGTCCTTTCAAACTCCCAATACTTTTACAAGGGTAAAGTATTAATACATTTTGTTGATAGGTTCTTACCAAGTATGGTGTTTTATTTCCATAGGGACAACTAAGTCAGAGGACCGTGCTGCATTGCTGAAGAAGTTCAATGATGAAGGCTCTCAGTACTTCATCTTCTTGTTGAGCACCAGAGCAGGAGGACTGGGTCTAAACTTGCAGGCTGCAGACACAGTGATCATATTTGACAGTGACTGGAACCCACATCAGGTTTCTATTTTGGAAAAAGCTTTAATAATACATAGAAGGATACATTAGTACTTGAGAAATAGTCTTCATTATTTCACTCATTCTGCAGTTCTATGTTGTTGTCCTGTTTTATGACTTTCTATGTGTTGTTTTTTGCCATTACTTCTCTTGATGTGGCTCACTGTCTGTAGTGGCCTCTGTAACTTGCTAGACACCTGTGACCTTGCACAAGTCAGTAGAAGCTGTGGCAGTATTCCAAATGAACCTGTTGTGCTGTGAGCTTGGCAGAGCTCCTTATAAAAAAGACAAAGCTTTCAAAACACAGTATACAGTACACAGTCCTCATCATTCCTGTGCTGGTACAGGGGTTATAGTGAAAAAGCTGATGAAAACAGGTCTACAAATTTCTCCTACAAATACATACATACATTCTTCTGTTATGCAATGTTTGAAGCTCCTTTTGAGTCTATACAGTAAGTGGCATTAAAAATGCAAAGAAAGCTGTTGGTACCCATACTCATTTATTGCTGCATTAATGCCTTTCTGCGTACAGTACATACAGATGCAAGAAAATGTTTGTGATCCCTTTGGAATTACCTGGATTTGTGCTGGATTAATTATTCATAAAAATCTTCAACTAAGTCACAATAATAGACAAACACAATCTGCTTAAACTAATAACACTCAAACAATCGTACTTCTCAGTACTGAACACATCGTTTAAACATTCTCAGTCTAGGTTGGAAAAAGTGTGTGAACCTCTAGGCTAATGACTTCTCCAAAAGCTAATTGGAGTTAGGCGTTCCAATCAATGAGACGAGATTGGCGGCGTGGGTTGGAGTTGCCCTGCCCTATAAAAAAAGTCACACAAAGGATGGTTACTGACAGAGTCTGCTCTTTTCAAGAAAGAGCTGTTCATGTGAACCATGCCCCGATCAAAAGAAATATCAGAGGACCTTAGAAGAAGAATTGTAGAGATGCATAAAGCTTCTTAAGGCCTGGGTGTTCATCAATCCACAGTAAGACACATTGTCTACAAATGGAGGAAATTCAGTACTGTTACTACTCTCCCTAGAAGTGGGCACCTTGCAAAGATCACGGCAATAGCGCCGCGTGCAATCCTGAAGGAGGTGAAGAAACGCTAGGGTAACAGCAAAGGACCTGCAGAAATCTCTTGGCCTTGCCAAAGTCTCGTTCATGTGTCCACTATAAGAAAAACACTGAACAAGAATGGCGTCAATGGAAGGACACCACGGAGGAAACTGTTGTTCCCCCCAAAAAACATTGCTGCATGTCTCAAGTTTGCACCTGGATGTTCCACAGCACTACTAGAACAATGTTCTGTGGACAGATGAGACAAAAGTTGAACTCTTTGGCAGAAACGCACAACGCTGTGTTTGGAGGGGGGAAAAAAAACACTGCACACCAACACCAAAACCTCATCCCAACAGTGAAGCATGGTGGAGAGAGCTTCATGGTTTGGGGTTGCTTTGCTGCCTCAGGGCCTGGATAGCTTGCTGTCATAGAGGGAAAAATGAATTCAAAATTGTATCAAGAAATTTTACAGGAGAATGTCAGGGTAGTGGTCCGTCACCTGAATCTTAATAGAAGTTAGGTGATGCAACAAGACAATGGCCCGAAACACAGGAGTAAATCAACAACAGAATGGCTTAAACAGAAGAAAATGGAATGGCCAAGTCAGAGTCCATACCTCACCACAAGAAGAGAGCTGTTCATGCAAGGAATCCCAGAAATATCAATGAACTGAAACAGTTTTATAAGGAGGAATTGTCTAAAATTCCTCCTAACCATTGTGCAAGTCTCATCAGCAGCTACAGGAAATGTTTGGTGGAGGTTATTGCTGTTAAAGGTGGTTCTATCAGTTAATAAATGCAAGAGTTCACATACTTTTTCAAGCTTGGACTCTGAATGTTTAAATTATGTGTTCAGTATTGACAAGAAGTACAATTGTTTGTGTGTTATTAGTTTAAGCAGATTGTGATTGTCTATTATTGTGACTTAGTTGAAGATCAGATCACATTTTTATGAGTAATTAATGCAGAAATCCAGGTATTTCCAAAGGCTTCATAAACTTTTTCTTGCAACTGTACATTTCTTTTGTATTAAAATAATGGAAGCTCTAGCTGTGTTATTTCTTCCAGTGCATAATGGTGTTTAAGCTAATCTGATAAAGAAATACCAGCTTTATATACTTAAAGCTTGGATGAGAACTACTCTCTTGAGAGTTCAAATCTTGTTTCCTCTTACAGGACTTGCAGGCTCAGGACAGAGCTCATCGTATTGGACAACAGAATGAAGTGCGAGTCCTACGTCTCTGCACTGTCAACAGTGTGGAAGAGAAAATCTTGGCTGCTGCCAAGTATAAGCTCAATGTTGACCAAAAGGTCATTCAGGCGGGAATGTTTGATCAAAAGTCATCAAGCCATGAGCGAAGAGCATTTCTGCAAGCTATCTTGGAGCACGAAGAGCAAAATGAGGTAGGTTGACAGTGTAAATCATATTTGCAGAAATCCTTCTTTCAAATTGAAGTTCTCTTTTCTTTTTGTTTTGCATGTGTTTCTTTTGCCCATGACTTGTACTGCGACCTTTCCGTGCCAAATGCTTTTGATATTTTATTCTATCAAGCTTTTCCATTTAAAACATGAAAGAAAATGTTACGATAGCATGCCAATATGAATGAAGGGAATAGCTTATGACAATGCCTTGTGAAACCGTAGTCCAAATGTGTAAAAAGTAGTGTTTAAAAATGCAACAAATAGAAACGTAGCAACATAACCAAACTTTTTTCACTCTTAAAATCACCTATGAATTTTAACTGTGACATCATTAAAAAAGCTAAGGCCAGTCCAGGCTTTAAATTGACAGCCCTACAACAGTTATGCTTACCCATAGCCACAAGTATGCATCTACTTGAACCTAGAAATTGAACATAGTTCTGTAGTTTCCAGACACTATGCTAATTTTTACAAATTATTACCTTAAACTTAGAGGTCATAGCACTGTGGACCTGCAGGTTGCACACAGTTACACTAGTGATTGCATGCCATCATCTTTTTTTGCAAATATTATCATACTTGGTCTTATCTTTTTGAAGGTGTTAGATGGAGTAGATAATCTTTATATATCCAGTGCTTGTTCAGTGTCATTCATAAGTATCCGGGGTCATTAGACTGAGGCTTGTATTTCTTAAATGCTATTCTATTGGAAATAAATTGTATTAATTTATCTGTTTTAGACTGTTTTAGTTTGCCAATATTTTATTAGTATTTGAACATTCATAATTATGTTTATTATAATTATAGAAATGTATACTGTATTTTCTAAAAAATAATCACTAAACTGCAGATATTAAAACTACTGTAAAATGTTTTCGAAAACGTAGATGACTGACAGTGTACAGTTTTTAAAATAAGTGCATTACACTGTGGTACATGATGATTAAAGAAGTTCTTACTAGATATAACTTTAGGTTCTCTTTTGTTCATTGATTCATCTCACTTATATTCAGTATTACTTAATCAACAATATTTATTTTAACTTTTTATGGCTGTAGATGTAATTTGATATACAAAGAATTAGGCCCTGTAGACTGATAGCTGCTTTAATCTTTAAATCCACTGGCTATCTCTTCCAGTTAAAACTACATTTACCATCCACACGATTTTACTTTACATGAACTGTTTCTTTCCTATTCTATTGTTATTCTCGCGTTGATGAAGGACGAAGACAATGTCCAGACGTCGATGGTAAATAAATATCTTACCTCAGTTTTATCCCCTAATATTGTCATCTACGTTTTCTGGAAATGAAATGTTATGTTAACTAAACATACTGCTCATGCATTTACTGTTTCGTTTGGCCGAAAATGTTTAATCTGCTTCTCGTTGAAAGCAAATGGATTTGCATGAATGTCCTGACAGATACCAGGTTGCCTAGCTTGGTGCATGAGCAGTTTAACTCTCTGCCATTTCGTTCCATCTTAGGTGCGTAAAATTGTAAATGCCAGTGTGGAGACTCATTAAACTATATCATTAGGTTACTCTATGATGTTTTTCCATTTGCCACATACTATATTCATTGCTACAAATACAAAACAGGTATTATGAGAACTATTTGTCCGTAATATTTATTAAGTTTTGTTATACTTTTATTATATTATTATATTATAAATAATATTTATTATATTTTATTACAGTGCTTTTGTGTAGGACTTTGAGAATTTAACATTATTACTACTTTGAATATATATATATTTTGCTCAAGAATAATAAATATAAAAAGTTTTAAACCCAACAAAACAGAAGGAAAGAGTGCTATGTATATCTAGGACCAAATGCAAATTATGCTAAGGAAAATATTTATAGTACTGCATAGAAAAAAACATACAAACACATGGCATTTGACTGTAGGGGTAATGTGCTTCAAATTAAATATACAGTATTTAAGCATAAAACATGATGTATCATATGTGCTTACAGCCCTTACAGTGCAGTTAGACTCTTTCTGTGCTGTTGGCATTAACACCAATGCTGGTTGCTGCAGAATGGGGTGGTGAAGGTTTTTCCTCATTACACAGTACAAAAAGGCTAATAAATTTTAAATATCACATATCTGGCTTTTGATGACGCAGAGGTCATTAGCAAAAAAAAAACAGAGAAGTGAAAACCTAAAACAAAAGCTGGGTCCCTAAATCAGTCCACTAATTAGTTTTCTGAATTTGGGAATATACTGTAAAAAGATGGCAATAAGCAGTCATCTGCATCATACCTTTAGAGTTTAGAGTACAAAATACAAAGTTGAAAATTGTAGCTCAGAGTTCAGCAAGGATGTGTGCTTTTCATTTCAAATATTTTTGTATTTAATTGTTGAAGTCTTAGAACACAGAACAGTAAAGCAACACTGTTTAGTTGACTATATGTAAAAAGATTTGTTGACCATACTGATTAGAGAAAAAATCAAGTTACCTACAATTTGTGTGTAGAGCAAAAGGTAGAATCAGTTATTTAGAAATAATGTAGTATTATTATTATTATCTGCACACTTGACTCTTAATATTAATTTATTTTTACTCATAAAATTCCGTCACTTCAATTTTTAGTCCTGCGCAGCTGTTATCTTCTGACTTTTCATTTGAACACTATGGTATGCTACATTAGAAACTGTTCATTTCTACTTCTATAATACACTGCATTTGAAATTTGTGTTTTTGAATTTACTTATGCATTCTGTTTAACTCTTATTTTTGCTTTTGCATCCCAGTTTCATATTTGTAAGGTTACCTACTTTTATAATCAATCACATTTTCAAATAAAAGAACTTTTAGATATATAAATTAATATAAGTGTAAAAATGAAAAAAATAGTAGAACAGATTTCATAGTCTTTAGAAAACCGTAATTACAGGCCAAGTCAGATAATAGACTGAGGGAAAGACTTCATCTATTAGCCTGTTTGAATATGTTTCTAAGAGGAAGCAATCCCACTCTTACACTATAGTACTGCAGTAATAACTTACTGACAGATTTCGGATGAGAATTGGGTATTAACATTGATATTATGGCTCAGCCTTAAACAAACCTGTTTGAGGATTGTGAATTGATTTGCAAAATTATCAGGAGGCTCTTTAGGGCAGGTGTTCAAAATTCTACAATATGTATGGTCACTTGCATTGTTAAGCGTCTTGGGGCAGCCTTGTTGTGAGAGACGCTATATAACAATCATTTGAATTGAATGGAAAATTCTGAGCCCTGCTTGTAATCATCTGTGATCATGTATTGCATTAGATGTTAACTTTATAAACTTTAAAATTGAACCATGAGTTTAAAATCTCATTTGCTCATGAATACAGTATGTCACCTCATGTACAGTATCATTTCTGGTTTTATTGGGTTCTGTCATCTTCAGCTGTCACTGATTATACAGTATATTCTGCCTCCCTCCACTATGGGGAATAAGCTGTGTGGCAGAAGGACATTTCTAGATTGGTGATACATTTTGTGTTAATCTTCTTTGAAACAGTATTGGGTCCCCTCTTAAACCTGAAGGTGACATTGGGGGTGGTCAATAACTGGTCAATCACAGGTTCTCACATGGTGATACTGCTGCTGTATCCTTGTGCAAGGTGCTTTTTCCAGGTGACTGTAGTAAGCCCAGCTATGTAAATTGTTTCCAAATTTGGAAATTTTGATTTTTTTTTTAAAAAGGAAAATGTTTCCTGAGTAAATCTTGTTGGATAATAGTGTCAGCCAACTACAGTAAATAATAATTAAATGAAACACTATGTAATGGCCCCGTATAAATGTATTTCCAAGTTAACAGGTGCAAAAAAACACTTGATTGTGTAAATCTCAAAACTGGAATTTTAATTGATCGTTCAAGGAAGAAAGCTATTTCAGTATGGTAAGAAATACGGGTGACCCTTGTCCAGTGTGGGGGTTTAACGTCTCTCCAAAGCGACTGCAAATCAGTATTGGAGAAAATTAACAAATTAGATAATATATGACTGTGTAAAGTCAACCATTAATGCCCATTGAGGTGTATTATTACACACAAATATAGTTAATAGTTCTACCTACAGTGAATTGTATATGAAATGAAAATGTAATACAGAAATGTAAAATAAAAACATGCACATTTACGACTTATTAAAAGCTTACCTTTGAATGAATATTCATAATTCAATGCAACTTATCCAGAATCTTTAAGTTTCTGCAAAGATCATGATCTTACAGGTTTTCTTCTCAACATGACCATTTTCTGGTTCCTTGTGTTTTGATGTTTTAGTGCTTTAAGCAATTAAACATTTTTTTTTAAAGAGGCAATCACTACATCACTAAACTTCTCAGGCTTACAGTGAGGAGTGTTGGGTGATGTGGGAGTATTAGAAAGCTTAAATACTAGTTTTGGTGAACTATGCATAGTCCATATTTCTTCCCAGTGATTTTTTTTTTTGTGGATAATCAAATTGGAATTGGGCAGTCCCACATTTGAGGAGTATTTAGTACATAAATAGTTCACACATTTGAACTATACAGATTATTTTCCTTTGCAAACAGTGTCAAGTGGCTTGTTAGAATGTCTTTTTGAGTCATCTAAATGTAATGTGATTGATGCAATAAAGTTTGCCTGTGCTTTCAAAAATTTGAATGATTTGTTTCTGAGCTGCCTCTTTCTACTATAGTTATCTTCAGGTTGAAATTGGAATGCACTTTTCAGGCAAAGAAGATTCAGTAGCATGGCCTATGCATGTTTGGTCTCAAACCTATGCATGATTTAATACTACAGTATTATAATGTAATACTACAGTATTATTCATGGTGTTGATAAAATATATACCCAGCACTTGTAATTGCACTTGTATATTACTGCCATGTAATATATATATACGGCACTTATAAAGTTGTGCCATCCCACTCATTTAAAGCATTGTAGACTGAGTATACCATATTGTTTGCATTTAAAGCATTTAAAGATTTGAAAAATGTAGATGAAAAGTCTTTTAGTAGTTTAGAAACCTGTTTTCTCATCATTCTGTAACACATGCTATGTGGATTGGTTTGCCTTCTGAAGTGTAGATGAAATTTGCAAAGGAAACAATTAATATTTAATTGTCTAATTTTAATATGCAAGTGATCATACATAAGCTTATGGAAGGTTCTTTCAATTTAAGAATGCTTAGGAAAATGAAATAGTAAATCAAAAACTGGAGAAAAAATAAGGCTGTATTTTCTATACAAAACCCTTGCTTCTAACCTGTAGATTCCATAAAGTTTAGTAACACCTACAAAATGTATGCGAAAAAATGAAACAATAGACAGAAACATAATATAAGGTCTGAGGTAAAATGTTCACATGAAAAATGTGTACAATTAGTATGTTACGACGTGATTTTGCCCTAGCTACTTTTTTACTTTGAACATTTGAAAAATATGATTGCAAATAAATTGCTGTCTTAGTCTGTTTGCTGTTTTATATTTGGTGAATCTTTATATTCTGGCAGGAAGAGGATGAGGTTCCTGATGATGAAACCCTTAATCAGATGATTGCTCGAAATGAGGAAGAGTTTGATCTCTTCATGGTAAGAAATGTACCATTTAACAATTTTTCGACTAAGTAATATTAAGAAATACAGCATTACATTTGAGTGGTCATGTCTAAAAACCTTTATGTGGGATAAGCTCGGTCTCTGAACTGTGATAAAAATCTGACTTTTGATTTGTAAACCATTTTTACCATGGTCCTAAAACAATAAGATTGTATAGTACTTTGCTGACCAAACACTGATTTGAAATGTCTTAAATTCATTTAAGCAAAATAAATAGCTACTTCACTCAGTTGTTTACAATTTACATAATTGTCACAGAAAGAAAATATATTTTTCATGACGATAATGGTTCTCAGAACATGTTTTTGATGAAACGCGGGAAATAAAAACAATTACAAAATGCCATTTAACAAATTGAATCTCGAAAAGCCCATTCATTTTAATCATTCATTAAAAGCAATTATGAGTCATCGGAGTTCATTCCCATGTGAAAGAGTTGAGCACTGTAGGGCCAAGTCATGCAGCCCATCTTTTTCTAAACAAAACGTTTCATCCCCATCAGCGCATGGATCTGGATCGCCGCCGCGAAGAGGCGCGGAATCCGAAACGGAGGCCCCGGCTGATGGAGGAAGATGAGCTGCCATCCTGGATCATTAAGGACGACGCGGAGGTGGAGAGGCTGACATGTGAGGAGGAGGAGGAGAAGATCTTTGGCCGGGGCTCTCGCCATCGCAGGGATGTGGATTACAGCGATGCCCTGACCGAGAAGCAGTGGCTGAGGGTATGTCACATCCGTCTCTTCATTTCTTCATCTCTTGGAGCACTGTTAAAAACAGCTGGTGCTGCTAACCCACACAAAGTATCATGCAGTGCTGAGGCAACAACTCAAAAATGAAACGTTTGGCAGAAGAAAGCTATCAACAGCGATACCTGATATTAACCATCAGTTTGTTCATTTGTCTCACCATTTTATTACTTGTTGGCAGCAACAAAAATATTTAACTGTAGCATATTTGTCATTCTGCTTTTGCTGCAGTGAACCTGCTATTCTGATTTGTCTGTTTGTGAATTGATTACTAAATTTTCACAAAGATGGTGGATTAGTGCTGTAAAGTGTCATAGCACACCCTCTGAATTGAAATAGGTATGTCACAGGGCTGTACTTGTATGCAGTAGACAGAACAGTGATGCAGATTGGGATTTCGCACATTCCCAGGACAAAGTTGATCAAATAAAACTTGGCAATTTTACAACCACATTTGACTAAAGTTACAGAATTATGATACATGTTTCTACCCTTTTTCTGGAATGTACTGGAGTGTCCTAGCTAAGTATTTATTGTTTTCTGTTGTGTAGGATTTTTTCATAGTTTTATACAAGCCGTGGAAGCCTATAGTAATTGGAAGGAATTTTATTTTTATTTCCCGGCTCACTTTTTGAAAGTGCCCGCTTTCAAATAAGCCGCTCTCTAAGAGATTTCTGCTACTATCACAGTGTACTTGTACAGATAATGCAAACAAATGTCCACACAACTCAAAAGAGTTTTGGAAGCAATATAAGCATCAGCGGTACCACTATTACTGTCAATTACAAACTAAAGTGAATAATTGTTAAAGTTATAAAGTAATTGAAAATGCTAAACATCTTTTTCTTAATCATTACAAATGATCAATTTGATTTACCAATTCAATGCCTTTGCATTAAAGTAGAAATATCATGCTTAGATTTACAAAAATACTCAGTGTATCTAATGGTGATAATTAGATTTAAAAGCTTTAATTTAACTTTTAGTGAATTTCTTTGGCCTTTTTCTGTGACTGTATAATTATATGCGTATGTACTCATCAAATAATATTTAAAGTATTTTGATGGATTAATTTGTGGTCATGTATGTTGACAAGGCAATTGCTATCCATAAGGTGTTATCATTGCTTATCTTTGTTATTCTGGGACAAGCCTCTTGTTATTGTATTTGTGGGACAAATTATGGTTCTGTGTAAGCACTTATATGATTTAAAGCCTTAAAGGTGAGCATGAGAATTCAGTCTCAAGTCTACTCAATATCTGATAAGAATCCAGTGCATGTGTATGACTGTTTATGACTCCTAGACAGGCATAATGTGATCTCTTGCACACGGTCTGGTCAGTTTGTTCAGTGTGGATTACGATACTCCCATGAGCAGGGTGTTACAGTAATCAATTCTAGAAATAAACAAAAACAAATGTGTTGACCAGCTTTTCTGAAACAGTGAAAAACAACATGGGATGTAGTCTGGCGATATTTCTGAAATGGAAGAATGATGTTTTGACATGAGGGTCCAACATCAAGCCTCAATATCATCCCTAAATTCTTTGATTTTGATTGAAATTCAGAGTGCCATCCACAGCTAGGGTTACTGTGTTGGCTTTATGAAGGTAAAGGGAAGTGCTGAGTAGTATGACCTCAGTCTTGTTGCTGTTTAAGTGAACAAAATTTTGTAACATCTAGGTTTTTATATCAGAGACACCATTAGAGAGTGCAGAGATAGCTCCTTTATGTGTCAGGGCAATATAATATGGATATACATTTGAGTAATCCTCAGCATAGAAATAATAGTTTAGACCATGTGATTTTAATGTATAACCAAGTGGGAACATGTACAGTAGATGCTAAATAGCAGGGGGCCCAGTATCGAGTCTTTGAGAACACCAGACTTAATAAACAAACCATCATAACTAAAATCCCCAAGAGAAACAAAGTGTCAGTGATGAGTAAAATAAAAGTTGAACCATTTAAGAGTAATGTCAGAAAACCCCAAATACAGTTTAGAGACGCTAGAGTAAAATGTCATGATTAACAGCGTCCAGCACTGAGGTCTAGGAGAAATAGGATAGAGAACCAGAATGAGCTGCCACAAGATAATCATTAGTAACATTAACGAGGACAGTCTCTCTGATGTGTAATTAATTGTCTGAACCAGATTGGAAGGGTTGAAAGAGGTTATTTGCAGTGAGTTTATTGTTGGAATGTGTTGTAACAGCACGTTCTAAAAGTTTCACAAAAAAGGGCAAATTAGATATAGGATGAAGATTGTTTAGGTTGTTCAGAGACATGTTTGGTTTAGATGCATTGATACGCTTGGTATCAAGAGCAGTTAAAAGAGAGCTATTAAAGGTTTGAACCTTGTCATTCAGCGTATCAGAGATAGGAAAGCAAGACAATGAAGAGAGAGAAGATTCATCAAATGCATTCTGGTCAAATGATTGCCAGTTGGAAAAACTTAACACTATCTGTTTGAAAAGTGTTGCTTTGGTTTAACTCTTACGCATGTTGCAGTAGATGTTTTCATAGTAACACCATTCTCCGTTATTTTAGTAATTTCTTCTTATTAAATAACAGCTTTATCAAACTTGTCAAAAATAAATCTAGTCAATATGGTGTTAAGAACATATCTGCGTAAGAGGAAAGAATCAGTCCCAAGTGTAACAATCACTGTTTGCAGGCTCAGCACTATAGTGAATATGATTTTATAATTCTTCAAAAAGCAGAAAACTAGTTGGCTGTTAGCGAGAGATTGAGTGTATTGAAAATAATCAAAGCTAACGGATAAGTATATGTTCATACTTGCCACATTTCAAAATGAAGACGCAAAGTTCAGCCTTTGTTTATTGCTCCAATATTAAAAATGTATGAATTGGAATGCATTTTTATTGCATGTAAGTACAGTCAGAGATGAGAGAGCCTTTGTGAGAAAGGAAGAATGTATAATGTGTAGCAAATTTGTATGCTTGTTCTTCATTAGACTTGTGATGAGCTGCCACAGGTGAGTCAGAGCCCTTTTTATCACAAACTGGAAATGTGTTTTGTGCTAGTTTTGTATACATCAAGCATTTCAGGATTCATTTAAATGAAAAATGCTTTATAAATGCAGGTATTATTATAATGTAAGCATGTTTTGAAAGGTTTCTTATTAACTGCTCTGGGCTGGACCAAATTAGTACATTTGACTAGTGTTTTAATATATTTAAACTCTGCAAAATACAGACAGTATGCTATTTTTTTGTTCTGTAAGTCCTGTTACATTCTTTAAAATGTGTAAAAATATAAAATGTATTTCATTGTCCAACAATTTTGCGTGACTGCTAAAAACATAGTATGCTCCACTTCATTTGGATGGAATATCTTACATACACTGACATTATTGAGGAAAAAGCATTTTATGTGAAATAAAGGCCATGCCATCTATATTTACTTTTCAGAAGCTGTAATTTTTTATGTATAAAACAGTGCAGCATTAAAAAAAATGAAATTTTCAATTTCAATATGAAATGTTTTTTAAGGACAGTTTACGTTTTAGGTTTTTTAAACACATAAAATCATTAAAAGATGAAGCAGATAAAATATAGAAAATTGGTGAGTTGAAAGTCTTTGTGTATGCATGAAATATTGCAGTCCTTAGAAGCCAGTATCACAACATACACATCAGTATATTATAAAGTATGCAAAACGAAACAGCCTTTAAGTGAAAATCTGATGGCTTAAACAGGGAGTAAAAAAAACTGGTAAGTAATAGGCAATGTTAAAACAAGCATACGGAGGAAGGCTTCAGGCCTTGCACTAGGAAGAATGAAACAGCAGAACTGGAGACCACAATCCATTCAGTGTTAAATTTTCAGAAAGAAAAATAAAATTACTTGTATATGAAAACATAGCATTCCCCCAGCTCTCTTTTTTACTGATCAGCTGATGAAGAGACTAGCTGCACGCTGCTTTGCCGGGTTGTTAATTTTATCCCCTCTAACTGTGGTTTCTGATAGCCGGCCTGCTGATTGCAATAAGGTAAATATCCTTCTTTATTGTCGTCTACAAGATTCAGCAGGGCTACATCACAGGCATGTGTAGGTGTGCAGCAGGGAAAAAAAAACAGCTTTCACAGCAGAGGCAGCGTAGTGCTTGTGAAACGGTATTAAAATGAAACAAGACAATATGCATGCAGCAGTTGTTGTTTTACAGGTTATGTTTTGTCCTCTGGATTTATCTGAAGAGCTGCAGTTCTCTTACATGCTGCTCTGTAGCATGTAGCAGGCAACCTACCGTAGTCACTGAATATTTATGCAGGTTTTGTTATACTCACTTATTTTTTTGACTGTTCTGTTTAAAACGGTTATCTGCATTCAGGAGGATTGTGATAGAGATTTGCTGTTGATTATAAGGCCCAGTTCCATGGATTCCCTGAGGACCTGTGTTTGTTCGCTGGATTCTAACATCAATAGATCGCTGCTCAGGCTCTGGAGCTACAGCCTAACTGGTGATCTTTTTTTTTTCCCTGAGTTGCCTGCCGGTAGCAGATGCATTTCTTTTATAGTGCGTTACCTTCAATTTTAAAATTACACATGGTTATGACATTATTCCGCTGTCTTTATGTGTGTAACAGTCACCGCTAGCATGACAGTATTTTTCACCATAGTGTAAAGAATTTTAAAAGACTAATCTAATCATGTCTAGTGACAGGATATGGGAAGCACTAGGAATGTCATTCGGCTGTGTGAAGTAAAGAATGAAATGAAGCTCAAATACTTTGCTGAAGGATTTTGGCCAGTGCATAGTTCCTGAGACTTTTCTATTCTGTTTCTTTATGAAAGGTGTCAAGATTTTGCTATTCAATCCATTCTACCATTTGGAAAAATGAACTCAAGAAAAAGTGTCTTAGTTGTCATCACATATTAAGAGCATGTACTTTTCCTGCTTTATTCTGGATATATTTGAAACTAAAACTTAATAGATTTAGCATCCTGATTTTTTGGGGACCTCTTAATTTTTTTGCAATTTTTTCCAATTATAAAATATGTATTAAATGTTTTGCACTGTAGCCAGCTTTAAATACCCTACTCATTGTCATAGTGGTTTAAGATGAGTTTGTGTTACTCTAATATATTCAGAATTGCAGTTAGGTTTTGTGTGTGTTGGCTTTGTAGTAATTGCATGCTACATAGTAAATTTTAATATTTTAATGTCAGTTTAATGAAATGCAGAATTTTAATATGTACGTGATGTGCATTATTTTTTGTAAAATTCTAGTTTTCTGATCTTCCTTTAAAAATTTAAAATAAAACATTTTCTGAGGCTTTTATACACTTTACCCTGAAAGAGTCACCAAACATTTTCTTATAGGAATTGTTCACGCGAATTGCTACAATATCTACAGTTCTTCCTTGTTATTTAAACTTTACTATATGACATGGATAGGCTGTTATTTTCTATCCTTTTGCAGTCATGTAACTGCAATATAACTAAATATGTAACTATAGACACACTTCTAATCTTGTATTTATTCTTTTTGTTTATTAATGATATGCTAACATAAAAACCTGCAAAGCATACAACTGTAAATATATTCACATCAATTTAGGATGTGAATACTAGAATACAATAACTGTAGTTTATAGAATGTGTACATCATTTTAAATTTTATGTAAAAAAATGGATACAGCTTGATTTTCAGGTTTTACACACCACAGTGAATAGATTATGCTGTCACAGTCCACAAACACTGCCTTGAAATTCATAGTTGGATACATGTATAGCATTTATTCCCTTACCTCTGTAGTTCTCTGTAAAATTTGTATTGCTTACCAAAGAGTATGCATATTTTCTCTTCATAATGTTATCTGGCAAATGGTGGAATCTAGGAAAACAGCACACAGTACATATTAGTGTTTGTCTACCTGAAATTGAGACATTATGCAATAATAAAGTTACACATGCAGAGCTTTGGAGAATTCATCCCTTGTTTCCAACAAAACCACAACAATTATGCTGTTTTTAACTACAGTAGCCTCTCGGCAGCATCTAATGTTGGTGACATTACACTAGGCTACCTTCTTCCACACATATCTCACTCTGGTCACCTGAAAGGTTTGCATGTTGTACGAAGTGCTTTCCAGTCTGATGCTGCAAATGTTATCTTCTAAAAGAGTAATTTACGAGTTGAAAGCCTCTGTCAAAGCCTCTTTCCTCGCTGCTTCTCTTCTTGTTTCTTCTTCTCTTTCTCTGTGGTCTTAATGTGATCTTATATTGTGTTTTACTGTACTGATCCTTGATAATCATTAACCCACACCTTACCTAGTTAAACTAAGAGAAATTAGTAAAAATAATAAGTCAGTATAGGTTTGAAAATATGTTTAAAATGGTATAATGTTGAGATTGATCCATCCATTTCAATTTTAATAATACCATAGCCCAATACAGGCTTGGGGTGAGCTGGATAATCCATCAGACAGTGGGCAAAAGGCATGATACACTCTGGATGCCATTCCATCTCAGGGCACACACATGGACACGTGAAAGACAATAACGAGACACCAGTTAACCTAGACAACTATGTTTATGGATTGTGGGAGGAAACCAGAGAACCTAGAGAAAACCCAGAATTGAACCCAGGAAGCAGCTGCTGCCCATGTTGGAATTCGCTAAAACATAAAATTCTGCTGTCATAGATAAATGCTGCAAACACAAAGGGATGAATCTACATCTGCTTTAAAGTGTTATGGGGTTTTCTACAGCCTTCGAATAAATTTTCTGGTCTGTTGTGGCTCATTTCAGGAAAAAAAAAGTTTCAAGTAAATGTTTGTTACATTGCTTTTTTTTTTACCTACTAACACAATTGCCATAGGAAAGCCATATCTGCCTCTGACAGGACATGCATAAAAAAACGATTACTTGCAGACAAAACCAGCAGCTGCAACACTGTTGCATTCATGTCACCACTTAGCAAAATAAGCTCCATTTCTTGTCTTCTGTTGACGACAGAGGAATTGCAGAAACCAGTATCTTGATTCATCAGGCCTCTTCTGGTGTAACACGTTTGTCATCTTTTGCTTGCCAGAAGTTTAATTCAGCTTGTTTTAGATTTTTGATTGAACCTGAGAAATTGAGAGACCAATTAAGGCTGAATTAAACTAAAACCTCCAACCACCCATCAGTCACAAATTACAGTTTCAGGACTTGATGGCAGCTTTTTGCTCAATTGCTTCTGCCCAACAGAAATCTGCCATTAGTCTGGGTTTAAAGAAATGTATACAACAGTGACCCTTGAACTACATAAGCTACACACTACTGTGATTAAAGTTCTAGCATATTTGTTTACATCTTAATTTCGTGTAAGTACAACTCTGAAGTAAAACTGAAATCAAGTCCCTTAATCATAGTTATATTTAAACAAGAAGAGGCATGTTTACTTTAATCTAGTGTGGCTACTGCCACATAATGGCTGCCACACATCGCACAGGTAGGTACTACATTTCATTGGTGGATGAAGAAGGTCTCTTCCTTTAAACATTTAACATTTTGTCAGAGTATATTACTGGAGGCTGACAGCGTGTTTTTCATATCTTAAATCGAAATAACATCATAAATATAATAGTTTTCAAAAATTGGTCTTTTAACCTCAACAGTGCCTTGATGGTGGGATGTAAAATGTTCCTTTAAGTAGTCCTTGTTGCTTTGTTGGCTTTTAAACTGTTTTATGCAAAAAAAAACAGAAATCTTCTCTCAATGAACAGGCCATTGAGGACGGAAACCTGGAAGAAATGGAAGAGGAAATCCGACTCAAGAAACGCAAGCGCAGACGACATGTTGACAAAGAATCTGGGAAGGAGGATGGGGAAAAGGCAAAGAAAAGGCGAGGCCGACCACCGGCAGAAAAGCTTTCTCCAAACCCGCCCAAGCTGACCAAGCAGATGAATGCTATTGTTGATACCGTAATTAATTACAAAGATGGGTAAGTGAGGAATATTCTTTTTTGTGGATTGCTGAGTGAATGGTACCTGGGCAGGGTGTAAAACACAAATCGTCTTCCAGCGTGCTTCTGCATAACAGTAGAAAAATGCAAACTGAATACTTCAGTGTAGCGGTGCTTATGTGCACTCTATTTACAATTACGATCTGGTTAATGGTATCACCAGATCAGCACTTTATTTCTCTTGAATGGTTTTCCTTCCACTTTAAAAGTTAGTCTGTGGTTTATCAGAGCTATGAGAATTTCTTGATTTGTCTAGTTATGTCATAGACAATACAGAGGATGAAGCAGAGAAGCATCCACCATGGAGAAAATGAAGACGCAGCTGACACTGACACTGTCTGTGTGAACTACAATGTATTTGGCAGTTTGCCACTGTCTTCCTAATTTTGCCATTAGATCTTCCTAATTTTGAAGAGCATTAGAACAGACTTGCCCTTTAGAAATCTGCTAATGGGATATTGTCAGAAAAATTAATCTTAATAAAGGCTACTCCAAGCCCAAGATAAGTAACCCAGCAAACCTAAGCGAGAGGCATCATAGGGCACTTCATATTCATAGTGGTTTGCATGAGGTTGAAACAAGTAAAGAAGTAGATTCTGAGCTACTTGAAATATTTAACTGAAACTTTTGATGTGTCATTTGTTCATAAAAATATTGTTTATGATACAATCAGAAAATATTTCTGTGCTAAGTCAAGATTGATCAGGCCAGATATCCTAAATAAGAAAGGATCACAAGATACAATTATATATTGTGACGCCACAGGGGTAGTGGCCACCACTGGGGCACAAACAGGCGTTTCCTTTACTCCAGACACGCCCTTCTCAACTTGCTGGGAAACTCTTTCGCTCTGTATGCACTGTGCTCCAAGAGTTATATTTAGAGATCTCTGGGTTTCCAGCTTGCAGACTCTCAGACCCAGAATCTCCACCTCACTCACGCCACTGTCCTCTGGGGGTCCTTCACATCGTCGTTCACAGCCGTTCACTTGCGAATTCCCAGGCTCAATGAGTTTCACACTCAACACTGATGACACTTTCTCTCCCTAGGAGCCCCCTGCTCCTCCGCTGTTACGTTCTTCACAAGAGCTACACCCACCCCACCCAGTCACCTCTGGGACTGCCAAGGAACCATCCATTCGCTGACGTCCCCCTGACACCTCCACACTGGGTCTCACATTCACACAGTCCCTAACAACTCGAGTTTCTGCTGTACCTCAGCATGTGCCAAGGCTCAACACGCTTTCCTTATTTAAAATCCACATACAATCTCCCTGACACCTCTCTCTCGTGTATCAGGCATTTCCGCAGCTAGCAGCGCATCTTCTCTTGTGCCTACCCACCACTGCGCTTCTCACACACACACAGCTCCTGATGCACCTCGCACTCATGCCCACTGTGTCTCTGCAGCACACTGTGTAGCATCAGACTCTGCTCTCCCCAATACATCATATCATGAGGGGAAGGGTCCCTCTACTGCACTTCAAACTCTGGCTTGCACACACTAACTTACCAAGCTTGCATAAATTCCCACAGACTCGCAGGCAGCCTTGTTTCCTACTCATGCTAAACAGTCTCTTTCACAATCACACTGTCTCCTCTTCTGAGGCTGTTGCTTTTCCTGGTCCCTCCCAGGTATCTTTTAATGTTCTTCTCCACAGATATACCCGGTTTCCTTCTGAACTGTCGCTCCCTCTCTATGTCCCTTATCAGAGTTTCAAGTATGAAGTCTCATACCTGTAGCTTCGGGCCGGCCACTCTCATTGTCGAGCTTTCGCGTACAGGAGACTTGATCTCATGCATCCCCTCTTGCCTGCAGTTAGTTCAGGACTGAGGTCCTGCTTGGTATCTATTTAGGAAAGTGTTTGACTTGCCCTTAAAATCCCACAGCTGAAGCTCATCAGCCACGGCAACCCCGCCAAACCACATACTGTAACACCACAAAATATATAGCTTCAATTATATCATCTAATAATTCTAATGACATTAAGAAGCATTAACAATCTGAAAAATGCTGATTCAGCACTCCTGTATTGCTTTATTTAATGACAGACTACACATGGGTCATGTATCACAAAATGGAAAAAAAAATATAATAGATATGAATTGCAAAGTCAATTATATAGGGATGAATTATAACTTTTTAATGCAAAGTTTAAAATAAATAGAAGAGGCAAAAAACTACATCTTCCTTTTGTACCAAGAGATGCAAGCAGAACAGATGTTCATTTATTGTGTAGTGATGTCAGAGAATTCATCAAAGGTATAGAATTCTATACTTTTTGCAAGTAATTTTTCAAAAATGACTTTTTTGAAAAAGGTGCTTATTGTAAAGCTTTACCTGTGTGATACACTACAGTTTTATACCCACTTGCTATTCTGAGTGTGAGTGAAATTTGGAACTTTACTGTCCAAGCACCAGTTTCCTCCTGATGTTATTAACAGTACTCCTACAATACTAACGTAAAGCAGGTACAGGTGCTTGTTATTAATATTCTATGTAATATTATTTATTCTTCTCGTTTATCATTTTAGATCTGGCCGACAGCTCAGTGAGGTTTTTATTCAGCTGCCATCCAGAAAAGAGCTCCCTGAGTATTACGAGTTAATCAGAAAACCTGTTGACTTCAGGAAGATAAAGGTAGGATGACAAACTCAAGTCAGTAAAGTAAATTGGAGTGTACCAACCTTTGAAATTAAATATTAATATTCCACATTTTCGTAGAAAATATCCGAATAAATATCTGAGTAAACGCAATGAGGAGGGTTAGCATTAGTCGGTCAGGGCTCTCTTGCATTCTTACAATACTGTTGGTGAGAAACATGCCTCTCCTGCAGCCAACACTGAAGCTCCTATATGAGGCTGTGATGCCTGTCACAGATAACCTGTTAAAAGATTAGTGGTGTGAAGTTTGCGGGATGGAGGAGTCTGCCTTTGGTTCCTCATTCCCCCTTGTGAGCAGTTCATAACCCTTAACCAAGATGAAAAAAATGCACATTGGCTGTTCCAAACCTGGTAGGTCTATAATAAAAATAACCTTAAAATTTAAAAATAAAGATCTGAATGGAGCCAAGTGCAAAATATTATTTCTATCTACAAGTTTATCCTATAATAATAATAATTAATTAATAATTGCTTATACTTATATAGCGCTTTTCTGGACACTCCACTCAAAGCGCTTTACAGGTAATGGGGACTCCCCTCCACCACCACCAATGTGCAGCATCCACCTGGATGATGCGACGGCAGCCATAGTGCGCCAGAACGCTCACCACACATCAGCTATTAGTGGGGAGTAATGTAGCCAATTCATAGAGGGGGATTATTAGGAGGCCATGATTGGTAAGGGCCAATGGGAAATTTGGCCAGGACGCCGGGATTGCTCTTTTCGAGAAGCACCCTGGGATTTTTAATGACCACAGAGAGTCAGGACCTCGGTTTTACGTCTCATCCGAAGGACAGCGCCTGTTTACAGTATAGTGTCCCCATCACTATACTGGGGCATTAGGACCCACATGGACCGCAGGGTGAGCGCCCCCTGCTGGCCTCACTTAAACCTCTTCCAGCAGCAACCATAGTTTTTCCCAGGAGGTCTTCCATCCAGGTATTATCCTATAATAGTAAAACCCTAATGCCAATTACAGGTTCCAATCTGTAAAACCGAGAAATTTAAATTCGGTTTAGAAGTAATTTTATGCTTTGTTCTTCCAGATGTTGTGAAGTATGACCCTTTTTCTCCACTGTTGTTATATTTATTTTAAATTTTAGTGAATGGTGAATGGTTCGCAAGTGATATGTTTGATAAAGAGGTCATGTGGACCATCCTTGTGTTCTGTCATTGTTTATTTTTTCTTAGTTTTTCCTGCCCCATATTCCCACCATAACACTAGTCCACCCCACAAAACATTCTGTATATAATATACTAAGAGCCATCAAAAGTGCAGAAAATGAGTATTGGAATCCATAGTACCCTTTTCCATCCATTGTTTTAAGTAATATTCACAAAATCATCCATTGCATCTGGGATCTGACATTCACTTTAAATGATTCCTTTCAGGAAAGAGTCCGTAACCATAAGTACAGGAGCATAGGAGATCTGGAGAAGGATGTTATGCTACTGTGTCACAATGCACAGACTTTCAACTTGGAAGGATCTCAGGTATGTGCGCCTTAGTGGTTGATGTTGTAGTTGAAACTTAAATGACACTTACTGTAAATTGAAATTTTACTTTAAGTGTTAATGACCCGAATATTAAACTTTTATCTGAAATGAGGTAGTTTTTTTACCGCTTTTATTATGTGTGTCTTTCTGTCTATAAATCACTGACTCCTGCATTGTTTCCAAAAAAAGGCATTTGACCAAAAAAACATGCATTACACTTTGAAACTGTAAATGAGCAAAGGTATGAAAGCAGAAATGTATCCTGTTTCAGTCATGCTGAGAGATTATGTTGTGCCCATAGATCTATGAGGACTCCATAGTTCTTCAGTCAGTCTTTAAGAGTGCCAGACAAAAAATAGCTAAAGAGGATGAGAGCGAAGATGAAAGTGGTGATGATGATGAAGAGGAAGATGAGGAATCTGAATCAGAGTGTAAGTTCATAAGTACCTTTTTAACATTACCTAAATCTAAAGTGATCTTTTTTTCTGAGCTGTGTTTTTCTAATTTATAGATGGAAGAATTGTGTGAAATTCCATCTCAGTCCCATTAAAAAGATTGTCAGTCATTTTACAGACCTGTTGAACAAGGGATCACAAGCAATTTATTCAAAAATCTTTTTTACCCTTCCTCTGTTAGAAACTTATAGTTTTTGTTTTACTTTTCAGCAAAATCGGTAAAAGTAAAAATCAAGCTTGGTAAAAAGGATGAAAAGAGGCATGACAAGGGCAAAAAGCGACAAAGCCGAGGCAAACCTAAGCCCATCGTAAGCGATGATGACAGCGAAGACGAACAGGAAGATCATGTAAGAGGAAGGAGTGATATGGGCTTTCTGGCATTAAGCATCTAGATGAGCGAGCCACTCATACCACCTTTTTAAAGCAAGGTTTATCTAAAACATTTAGATAAAGTCTTATCCAGGCTAATATGGCTCCTCTGTGATGAGAAATAACTTTTTATTTGCTTTCTTTTTTTTAATTTGCTTTCAACAGATGAAATTGAAGAAGCTCGAATTATGAAAAATACTTTATACTGTTTTCTTCAACCATAGATTTCAAAACATTGTGATTATTGTATATTGTTGGTCTAAGGTATATGGTTTGCAAGACTAATTATGAATCATTGTCATAGAGTTTAATTGTTTAGGATATAATGTAAACCTTAATCAACAGCTAGTTTTCTCACGTTATTACCTGAAGGTAGATTTTTTGTAGTTCCTCTTTTTCTTCAGCTATTATAAAAATCTATTTTTTTGTCTTTAAATGCTGCAGTTCCAAAGTGAAAAGTAAGTGACACACTATCCCACAATAGAAACTTTTTTGCTAATTCAAATATTGCAAATACATGCTGTGGAATTAACCTTTCACAGAATGTCATCATGGTCCCATCACACATTTCTTTTCTGTGTAATTTCTTTAAATCATTATTCCAGAAATATAAATAGTGCTTGCTTTTTGTTCTTAGAAATCTTGTGCGCTTTGACCAATTTGCTTTACATTTTTCATATTATATATATATATTAATATTGTAAATAGACTTCCTTACTTGTAAGGACAGATTGACAGAGCAATGGACAGACAATAGTTGTACCAGCAGGATATTAGAATTGCTGAAAAATGTATCTGACATGAAAGTAAAAATTTCTCATTGAATGTTTAGGTTTTATACACTTTCAATATTGTTTTAATATTGTTATCTTGCATTCAGAAGAGATTCTCTCTTCTCTCTGTAGCATAACCTTCCCACATTGTTAGGAACCAATACAGATAGGCTCCCCTCAGTAACATCCCATTTTGCAGATAAAGGAGAAACAGAATTAATGTAATGAAGGTCTATAATATTTACTTCCTTGTTAGATGTTGTGGAGGGAGGTAAAATTTCTGATTTCTTCCTTTGATTGGTATAATAATATTTACAATATTCACTGTAAACCATCCTGAAAGGAACAGATCAAAGTTTTTTTGCTTCTTTATTCACACCTAGTAAACAGCAGACTCTTGCCTGAACAAAAGTTGATTTCGTCATATTATGATGTAATTTATATGCCTTGAAATTCAAAATGTGAGGGAGCCTACATCGAATCATGTCATGTCATTTACCAAACCGTTTTATACCATATGGTGTCTCGGGAAGCCAGAGCCTACCAAGCTAGCAACGAGAGCAAGGCAGGGTACACCCTGGACGGGGTGCCAGTCCATCGTCGGGCAAGTGCAAGCCAGTCATACATGGGGACAATTTGGAGGCCACGGTAAAGGCCAAGGGGGGAGATTTGGCCCAGACACTGGGATAACTTCCTACTCTTATAAAGAAATGCCTGGGGATGTTTAATGACCAATGAGAGTCAGGACCTCGGTTTAATGTCTCATCCAAAAGACGGCACCCGCTACAGTATAGTGTCCCCGCCACTATACCAGTATATTAAGACCCACACAGACAGGTAGCCATTTGAGAGCTGCAGGGTGATATGGCTGCTGGCCTTACATTGAATCATTTACTCTGAAATCAGACTCACTCAGTCAGCTCTGCCTTGACCAATGAGCCGAATCACAAAAAACATTCTTACTAGTTTGTAATATTGGTAAGTGTCTAAGCTGCTGTAGCTATATAAGGCATTAATTTGAAGGTTTGTGTGCTTTGTCTCTCTTTACAGGATCAGTCAGAAGGAAGTGGCGCGAGCGATGATGAATGATCAAGGGGAAAGCTGATCTGCCTTGTATTCTCTTTCTGTTCTGAAGGTTTTCATTTGATCTGTGGTAGATATATTTACTTATGGACCCCTACCCTTCTGGATTTATCAGCGTAAAGTCTATGTCTTGGGTAGATATACACACAGTCTGTTTTCTTCTTTTTGTCGAATCCAATGTAATAGTTTTAGTGACCAACTTGGCCTGTGAGGCAATTGTTTCTTAACTGTGCACCTTCTGCATGTTTCCCATGTTCAAGCATGGGGACAGAAATATAAGGTTATGCTTGTATATATTATTTTATGAAAAAAAAGATTGACTAAACTAAGTCCAAAAAATAAGTTTGTTGAAAAAAGATTTGTTACTAAAATTGTCTAAAAAAGTAATACACTGATTGATAGGAAAGTATTAGGTGATGACATGTGTTTCTGAACTGCTTGTGGTCCTAATGAACAGAACGCTTAACCATGATATATGGCAATGGTCCTTTTTATATTTCAGCTAGGGTTATTATAAAATACCACAATGGATAAAGCTAAGTTACATTTATCACCCAGGCTTCAGTAGCTGAGAAACCTTTCCATGCTGTGTGGTTATTCAGTAACGAATTTTTAGTTATTCAGCAACAAACAGCCCTATGCAGCCAAGGACTCCCAAAGGTAAAAAGACTATTTTGTGCTGGTGAAGTTTGTCATCCAATTTTAGTAAAACTGAACTTAGTGTCAGTGAAATGCAAAAACAAGGTCTCAGATTGCAGCTGAAAGCAAATTTTGCTACCCAAGAACTGTTTCTCTATGAGTAAGACAGCAAAAACATTTGATTTTTTTCAGTGCAGGTGAGAAAGGCAGTGTATTAAAAACATATAATGGCCAGCAGTGGATATGTACTTTGATGACCATGCAGCTATTGATATTTTTATACTCTTATTAAGAAAGATTTTGTTAAATGTTTGAAAACTTTACAATATTTGCCTCCATCTTAAATTTGCTTTGCGCTTATTTGATCTTAGCAACTTGTTTTTCCTTTTTGGGGTAACAAATTCTTAATGCAAGTGATAATTATCTCCTTTTGTCCCCAAGTGTTTGAGTAGTATTCTTGTGGTGCTTCCTATTTCATGTGTAATCTAAAGTGAAACCTTTCTTTTCAAACAAACCTTTCAGTGTGCAGTGTTAGTTATCCTTTTCCTGAAGTGTACTTAATCTTTGCTTTCTTTGCACAGTCTTTGGTTGTAACTCATAGCCCAAGGCAAATAAACATACGCAATTTTGGTGGTTTATGTCTCCATATTTTGTTTTTAAAAAGCAGTCTTATTTCATTGTAATTTGATTTTAATATATTAAACAATTCATGTTTAATATTATATGAACAGACTATGTTTTAGAGTTCTGTAACACTGATGGTACTTAGAATTTGTGTTGAAGGTTTGAAAATCATCCTGGAAACTGAAGAAAAGGCATTGCCGACTTACTTGCCTGCTACTTAGATATTCTAAATCGAAAGGTTTGGTGAATATTCACCACTTCTGTTTTGGTTATTGTCTGCATTGGATAACATGTCAGAATTTCAGAATTTCAAAGAGGATCAAAGGTTTTGCCACTGCGCTTGGAATATTCAGGTGTTTAGCTATTTTGTATATAAATGTGCTCTTTATTCTAGTCTACAGTTATAAGTAGTTTTCTTTAAGAAAAATGTGCTCATTTTTTCACAGGTGCTATAAACGAGATGAACCACAAGAGGTCGCTAAATCAAATCCCCATCATTGCTGGAATAGACCTTATGTTCCCAGAGATCAAAAACGCCTTTTCTTTTCTGTATTCTAGTAGTTTAAACAGAACAAAACCAAGCTGATTCTGTAGAAAAGTACACATATATTCTGCCCTGTTTGTCTTGCACTTTGAAGTTTCTAGCTGTTTAGATAGCATTAAGCCACTGAAGATAGAGATAAATTGGAAGTTAATCCTTGTCTGAGAGCCAGATATGTCAGCTGGAGCTAGTCAGGTGCCAGTGCAATCTCTGCTATTCCTCTGTTGCTTTAGCATTCCTTTTGTGTGCAGCAGCTATCACCACCAGATTTTGCCAGCAATTGAATCCTTAGATTTTGAGCCATTTTGAAAGAATTCTTTGAGAACTCATCAAAATTAAGCATATCTGAAAGGACCAGGTGTTTCCTATTATGAACAGAGCTTTGTTTCACTGTGTTACATCACATAAAGTTTGGAAAAAAAGAATAACAAAAAAGTCAAAATACTGAATCTGCAGTACTTAAAACGATTCTGACAAAAGTTTATGATCCTTCCAAATTCTTTAGCTCAGAACTATTTTGGCACATTCTCAAAAAACAATAGGTGCCTTTGGTTCATTCAAAAAAAAAATAATATTTTTATCCACCTTAGAACCTGATTATACGCTGAACATTCTTCCATGTTTTTTTGCTGTTTATTATTTTATAAGTTTCAATATAGAATTCCTCATTTTGTGCATACAAATGTTGCACTGAATGAAAGGAGGAGGTGGAATAAGAAAATCATATTGAAGAAAAGATAACAATAAATGGATTAACCAGTTTTGGTGAGAAGTATAAAATATATCTTAAAGTTCTTTCAGAGTTAGTGAAGCACTTGGCTTAAGCAAATTTCCAGGAAACATGCATGTATATGAATCCTGTATGAGAGAGGCTGGGCTATGAAAAAACAGCAGTTAAAATGTCAGATGTTATCAAACATATTAGTGTCTCACCTCAGGCTCAACAATGGAACAAGGCTCAGAGAATGGAAATTTTGAGGATCTGCAGTTAGGATTGAAAATGGGATGTGAACTAATGCTCTAGAAACTTTTAGCACATAGCTGTGAGAAATTGTCAGATCAATAAACTACTACCAACCATACAGTACATGCTTCATTAAAACGTGGTAGAAGAGCCTGAAACCTATTCTAGAAGCATACTGTAGGTCACACACAATGCTGACAGTCCAGATACTGTATATCCATTATCCTAGTGCAAATTAACCATGGACATAAACCAGAGCCCAAGCAAAAACTTAGAAAAATGGGAAGATTTTGCAAATTTTATACAGAAAACGATCCCAGTCAAGAATTACTTCCGGTTTCCAAGAGCTATGAATCAGCCTTAACCAATAACTGTTACAATGCAGCCCAATTACTAACAACTAAACACATGACTTCTTTTTGTGATCAGATCTCTTCAGATCTAGGACAGTGAATCTGTACCAGTTTTGTCCAGTTGTAGAAGAAAATGAATATTTGCGATTAGTATGAATTGAAATTACTATATAAATTGGAAGACTGTATCAACTTCCCAATGCACTTGCAAGGTAAAAAAGTTAGTCAAATAGTGGTACAACTTAAAAAAAGGTACAGATCACAAAAAGCCTCAAAACCATGTACACTCATGAAAAATAATGAAAACGTGATTTTTAAGACCTGTAAGTATTTCCATAATGTCTTGCAAACAACATTAAATTTCCAAGTACCATGACAAACATTTTGGATACTCTTCAGGAAAAAGTTAGCATTTTTCTGGATAATCTATTGGGTTGTAGGCAGTACAATGTCTTAATGCAAAGAAACTAATGATGCTTATTGATCTTGGCATGTTTGAAGACAAGATACAAGCTTCTTCACTCACAATTTTAGATTTATCTGTCAACTTTTCTTTGAGATGTTGTCATCGGCTGTCTGGGGTCTAACCACAAATTGACCACTGCACTTATTCACTGTGACAGCTGGTCACTAAGCCCTTGGAAATACAGTATCTAGGCTTGAGTCCAGTAGTAAAATGTCTGTTATGAATGTTTAAAAGTATTACCCTTATTTTGAATAAATATCAGATATTTTAAAAAACAGGTCAACTGCAAAAAAACAGAATAAATATGGCATAGCGTTTTTCCTTTTTAAGTGGTGGTAAAAAAAACTTCTCCCTGGAACATTCTTGCCCTGTAGATTTATGCAAATTGTTTTTGCTGATTAAGTTTGCTCTCTATTGTACCTTTGTAGTGCTGCCTACAAGCTTCATACAATACACATATAATTTGTATATATGTATATAAAAAATTGTATTTAATGTCTAAAGAACAGCTGAAGTAATTACCCAGCTTAAAGAGAAACAGTGTTATTTTGTTCCTGCTTTTGGCTTTGAGAGTTGAAAGGGAGAAACTAAGATGGCTTTAATATAGTAATGTCCAAAAGATATCAATAACAGACTCAATGGTCCTATGTCTGTGCCGAATTTCAACCATGGTGAACAGCAATGTTATTTAGGTAAGTATCAAATTTTATATAACAATGTTTTAAGCAAAAAAATCAAATGCAAAGCATAAACAAACCACAGGTTTAGTCCCTTAACACTGCATTCAGTGAAACCAGATGCCACACGACAGCCATGGTTTTCATGCCATTCTCTTGTGCTAATATTCTGTGCAAGTAAACCACACTCTTTTCTGTGAAAACAGCATGAGGCCTGTACACATGGCTAATTTGCATATGAATTACATCCTTTTGCTTATATTTGCATGACATTGGGCTAACCTCTTCTCTTATCAAGTGAAACATTCGAGGCTCATGTTAACCCCAAAAAGAATAGGGTGGCTTCTTTGGGTTGAGCAGAATGTCTTGAGTACAGTTAGAACAGACATGTGAACTCTTCTTTTAAAGATAGCCTATTGAGTGGTCTATCTCAGAGGGATTACATCCTACGATAGTACCTTCATTTCTTAAGTGGTGCTGTTACAGTACCTCTGATCCAATTTTAATTAATTGATGCTTACACATGCTCACATACAGTTTGGCTGCTCTGTATATTGAAAGTGTTTTCATATACAGTATACAGTGGTGAACCAGTGTGACCACTGGCTCTGAACTATTTAGGCTGAGTCTGCGAAACTCAATAGAGATGGGCATCCTGTCATGAGCTACACTCCAGGTTTATAAATGTACTCTCATTTAACAATGTATTTTATTACTTGTCACCTCGTTGAGTCACATGATTTGCAACATGGCTGGCTGGCTTTTTAAAAAGAAACCAGGGAAACATGGTTTTAAAAATTGCCCTCTGTTTCCAGTTACTTCTGTATTTGCTCTCAGTAATCATTTGTGTCTCCAGTCTTTATTTACTTCAGCAAGCTTGAGCAGTCTGCTGGGCTGTCCATTACATTCATGATTTTGTAAAGCTAATATAAAATCCTTCATCATCCCATCTGATCAAGATTAAGAAAATCAATTATTTTAATCTTTAGATCACATTTTCGTTGGGAAAAGTAATTCTCCCAGTAAGTTTTTCCCCAAACTTTTCTTGGTAATTACTGTACGTCTATATTTGATTACCAGTTTTGAAAACTATTAAAAATGAAGTTTCAGCCTCCTTAAATGCCCCACTTTTCAAAAATGTCTAAGTACAGTACCTTTCTTCATACCTTGCAGTATACATCTGTAATACATGTACAAATTTGAACTTGGAGCATTAAATGTTGTCTACCTAGTCATGAATACCTTCATTTACTATTTTTTGTTTCACCTGAATATTACACAAGTTTACAAATAAAACCATATGAGTCATGATCATTGATGTACATCACAAAAATAATCCCAAACATATGCCCCAAACATAGATCCAGATGTTCCTCTGCATCTTAAACCTTGTAATGCAGTTTTTTGCAATAGAAGCTTGCAATATAATGTCCCATGTTACACAATGAGCTCCTGAAGTATACTGTAGATTAGTGTAACTGACTAATAAATCACTGGCACTTCAAAATTTTCCCTGTAGCACTTAAGGAAATGAAAATTATTATTCATCGATTTCCAGCTATGATATTTCAACTCTCACTTTAAATGTGAGCAGTACCTAAAATTTGGCAAATTGCAAATGTAACACCTGACCTTATGTACCCTTGGATTCTAAAGCAGAATAATAATGTCATAATCTAGGATTGTGATCTCTTAGCAAATTGGTTGATATTTTTCTAGTTTAAAGAATTTGAACAGAAATGGTCCATGTTTTTCTTTCAAAATAATTACATCAGGACGAATGTAAGGACACGAATGTAAACTTGTTGTAAAGAGATGTTACAACAAAAACAGTTCCTACAGGCTAAATATCCTGATCTTATAATTCATTTTCTTATACTCTTTAAGATAAAGAAAAATATTTCAGATGCAAATGAAGAATGCATGTTTTATAAATAAATAACAGTTCCCTTTAGCACAATTCTTTATAAAGTTTTCTTAATTGAAACAGTTACACGAACATCACCATA